GACTAAACCGTGCTCAACAGTGAGCAAGAAGCCTCAAGTGAAAGGAAATTTGCCTTCAGAAAAGAAAAATGGGAAGAGTACCAGAGCATCTAATGAGTTATATACATAAATAGGTCAGGTTTTTTTGAATCACAAAGGAACATTCTTTGTAAAAGATTTTTAAAAAAAAAGAACTGGTAGTTTTCTTCTTTAGATTCATGGCCAGAATAGTAAAACATCATGTGTCAAACATCACAGAACACTTGGATGCATCCATTAATAAGCAATGGGGAGCTTTTCTAGGAGTCAGGTAGGACTAAGCTGCCAGCTAATTAGTGAAAGAACTCTTTTATTGCCATCAAATATTGCTTCTGGTACCAAATTGAAAATTTAAAAGGCATTAGCTAGTCATTGTTTTCATTTCACTTCAGGAAATCTGCAGGAGTTACAACATTACTTACTCAATGTACAAATTCTCCAGACTTACTGAATGGGAATCAAACCAGCATCTCAACTTTTCTAATAATAAAAAATTTCAAGAGAGGAAGTGAAAAAAATTGCAACTTTTATTCTCCCCCACTCCTCTTTTCAACTTTTTTCTCTTTTTAAGCCTAATTTTAACTCTTTTCATGTTGCTACTGAAAACAAGAGAAAGGAAAACAAACACAAAGGGAATAGAGCAAAATTTAAACTCTGTTCCTGTGCTTGGGAACAAAACCATGCTCTGTGGCTTTAAACAACAACTTTCCTTCAGTGAGGAACTGAATTTCCTGGTGATCTTTCATGCAGGTATAATACTTTGGAGTAAGGTTTACAATCAAACAGAAGGGGAAAAAGAGCTGCTGACCACCAGAGAGCCTCTGAAGGCTCTCCCTGCACTTACCTTTGAGCTCTTAAATCTCTACAACTCTCCTGAGCACACTCCAAATCACAAATGAATTTGTACCTCCCCTTCCACAGCAGAATAAACCCAAAGTGTAGGGAGGCCATTTTAAAGCTGACATCAAATTTAACAATATTAAAATTATTTGATTAATAAAAAATTATTGAAATTATTTAATTCATAAAATTAAAATGCTCATGGTAATGCAGGCAGCAAAAGGGAGGCCAAAAGACAACTGCACCAACATTAAACCTGGTTCCTCAACAAGTGTCTCAAAGCCCTGTGGTGCCCCTGTAAAGCCTTCAAGTTTCCTGGAGGTTTGACTTCAAGGGTGTGGTTTCTAGGAAAAACATTGCTTTTTATTGCTCCTTTAGTAGTACCAGGAACACAGAAAATAAAAGAGTTTTAGGACCTGCTTGAAAGAGGTTTAAGGTAAGGCTCTAATTATACAGAGCTTAAATAGCACTGACAAAATTAAAAAAGAATATACAGCTCCCTGTAACAGGCATTTTGAACCATGTGGTCAAATCAAGCCAGTGTTGACAGACACCAAACCTCCAACACAAAGGTGTCCCCTTTACTGGTGGCCAGCAATTTTGGCAAATAAAGGCCAATGTAGCTATTCTAATAGATCACTGTTGATATGGTTAAAGAAGTATCAAGCTCAGAAGCAAAGGCAGATCAGTGCTTGCTCTCCCACAATAATTTCCAGCCATCCTGCAAGGAGAGTGAGCCCAACAGAGAAGTCTGGCACAGAGAACAGCAGCACTGTCATCCCAAATCTCTGCTCCCCTGCACGGGTCTCCCTTTCCCTCTCACAAAGCCCGAGAATTCAGCTGACACAAAGACAGCACATATGGTTTCTTTCTACCTCTTCTAACACACCAATTTGTGGAGAAAGCTGTAATCAAGTGGACTCAAGCCTGACATGAGATGTCCAGCACACACTGTCCAGTGAAAATCCCAAATCACTCTGCTGAAAACAGCCAGCCACTTTCTATGAGAGCCCAGGAGACCCAAAGGAATCACTCAATAACCCAGCTCACATGACACACGTATTCACCCAACTTCTTGCTCAACATGAGAAACAGCAAACCCCATGTAGAAATAAAGCATTAATCAGTCATTTCTTGAACAGGCTTGAAAAGAGCAACCTACTAATTTTAAATGATGCAGCAACTCAAGGGTTAATGGTGCTTAGGAAAGGATTCAGTGGAAACCCTTGGAAGAGTTAGGTTGGTAACTGTAGTGCAAAACACAAACTGGTGACAGCCAGAAGAGGAGCCAATTGTGTCATTGCTGCCCCATGGGTCACCAACTGGCAAAATAGGTTTAAGCTTGCAAATATGGTAATATAAAACCCAGGGCAAAACTGAGCTCCTGACTGTTCCCAGATATTGCAGTAGTGGAGACAGAAATAAAAATCACTGCTTTTGAAGTGTTTTCTTGACCTGCACTAGCACCTTTCATTTTAATATTTATTTGTTGACTACGAAGAACCATTGAAGAAAGAAATCATTCCTTGAGAGAAAAAAATTACAAATAAAATAATTTTCTCAGTGGTTCTGGGTAGCTGGTGGTTCATCTCTTAAAACCAGAGGATTTCTGGGGAAGAGCAGAAGGGTCAGCCTAGAAGAAGGGTGGGAATACTGACATCCCCTATCTCAAGAGCTGCTGGTGTCGGTGTGGTGGGGGAAGCAGCCGCTGCTGGTTCCAGAGGGGTCACCCAGGGCTGCGGGACCCCCAAAATAAGGGGAGGGATAGCCAGGGTTGCGGGTCACCCAAAATGAGGAGGGGAGAGGAGCGAGTTTTGCCAGCCCCCGCTGCTGCAGCCCCACTGGCGGCCAACAGGTGGCGTCACTGTATGCATGATAAATGGCATTTACTAGAAAAAGGTAAGTTGTTTTATTTTCCTATAAAAAATGACCCTAAATCTGATGTGAAACGTCGGCCTTCCGTGCACCCCACACAGAAACACACTTCCCCAACTCCATCACCATGGAAGTGCAGTGAGGAAATAAATTCCAGCTGGCCTCACCGAGAGGTAAAAGCCCACACACCCGAGGCCAGCGAGCGAAGGCTGGGGCCAGTGCCTCCACTCGCCTTCTCCTGCCTTCTGGGCTGACCTTTAGTCTCCAGTGTTTAGAGGAGCGTGAAGGCTTTTCACGCTCTGTCAGCACACCTAACAAGCAGGGTGTTCAAACTCATTGTTTACAGAGGCAGTGCCTTGAGTTCTTCCTTTCTGGCAGCAAAAAGGACCGTGACCCTTTTTTGGCCAGGACTGCAAGGATACAGGAGGCTCAGGCTGCCTATTCAAAGCCTGGCAGGTACAGCCTCATCAGCCTGCAGACAGGAGACAGGAGCTTGCCCTGCTCACACCTCAAGCTGGTGAGACACACCAGTCCAACCAGGGCCACCCACTCCTGCTCATCCATGGCTGGGGAGGGCCAGTGTCCCCCTCAGGCATGGCAGCCACAGCAACTCAGTTTGCCACTCACTCTCCCTGCCAAGCGTGGCAGCAGGGCCAGGGCTGTGCTGTCCTCACCAGTGGGGAGAGACTCGTGCTTTCCCAGCCCAGTCAGAACTGAGCACAGGCATTTACAGTCATGGCTCCTGTGCCAGGAATAGGAATGATACTTCTTTCTGCTAAATAAGCAGTGCAGGTAGTCCTTTTCCACCACAGATTTTTTGCAGGCCATGTCCTGCCCACTCTTCTCGCAAGAAGGGCTTAAAGATTTGTAAAAGCTCTTGGTGAGTAAAATAAGTCCCCCAAATCCACACAGCCCTGCTGCCTCTTGCTGCTGCTGAGCCACTGGAAAGCAAATTGGATGTTACATCCCCTTGTCCATGCCAAAGAATGATCTGCATGTTTGTACACATGCTGGGTGGGGTGCACAGTGTGGTTTTGGGGTGCAGCTGACAGTAACACCATCCCAAAAGCACCTGGAGCTGGATGGCTGTGATAGCACATCACTACTGATCCACACGATGGGATCTGCACGTTTGCACGGAGGATGAGCAAGAAGGACCAGTAAAACGTGTGCGGGTCGTGCTGACAGCCAGTCCCACGCTCCCAGTGCCTTTCCAGCTGGAACAGGGAATGAACACAACTCCCACCTGCAACACAACCACACCTTCTTAAGGGGGACCCTTTACATGGGCCCATACCAAAAATAAATAATAAAAAAAATAGTATTTAAAGAGCAGGTTTTGATGCCAAGGGTTTAGTGTGATCAGCAGCACTTGCACTGTGACCAAGAAGGGACAGAAAGGCCTTGCCTACAGCCTCAGTGAGAAAGCACAAGAAGAGCTGGCAGCATCCCTCCTGACCCTCTGCTGGAGGTCATCTGAGTTTTGATGCAGCATTCACCTTTGCTGGCCTCACTCACAAGTTTACTGGGCTCCCCCCAGTTCTGCAGAGGCTACAGCAGTCGTAGGGAGCCCTGCTCTGTGCCCTGCAGTCAGAGATAACTACACCCCGTGCCATGGCACTGCTCTGCCTGTCTGAGAATCGGCAGAACCCTTCCTTAAATCTCTGTTGTCATTAAAAAGAAAAGCTCTTTCTCCAGCACCCAGCTTGTTTCTTGTCTCTGACCCTCCCTGGACTGGCACAGTTCCTAGAGCCCAGCAGCACAGCGCTCCCAGGGTGGTTTGTTTTACAGCACAACAGGGCTCCCACTCCTGTGCCCACTTGGGTCCCTGCCCAGATTCACTGAAACCACCTGCATTACAGCAGTAGAAGAGTGGCAAATTTAAGAGCCTAAGAGTGCCAAACAGATATGGGGGATTATTTCAATTTCATGGTTTCCCAGTGCTATGCACATGCCCTTTGAAGAAATCCCTTAAAACTGTCTGCTTCCAAATAACCTATATACATCACTGGCCCCAAAGACGACACATGACGAAACAGCCTTACAAAACAAATCCTTACATTTCAGCCCAGCAGAGCATCCAAGTGCACAGCAAAGCCAAGACAAACTGCTTTTGCCTGTACGTGGCTTGAAAATCCCTACTGTTGCTCTATCCCAGAAAATGATTCATCCCCCCACGGGGCTTTGCCTTGCCTCCGCACATTTCGCAAGGCTCCTGGCTTTATAACAGCGTGGTGCACGCGGTGACTCCTGGCAGATTCCTCGGCTCACTTGAGAGTGAGGAGGCAGAAGCTAATCCTCCTAACAATGATTTTCCTCTTGCAGCATTTCTTCCTGCTGGCCACAGACTTAGTGCTTGCCATGACCCTTTCCTGCCTCTTTTATGCCTTCGCGTGCGTTTCCATCGCGTTTCTGACCTGCTGCGTTATCATCTTCTCCTTTGGCACCGCGGAGAGGAATGTTGATGTGAAAAGGAGAGCAATTGTAATTCTTGTGTCCAACAGTTCCATTGGGAGGATGTTTGCAAGGAACCTGGATAAAGCAGGTTTCGGGGTGTCTGCTGCACAATGGTCTGCTCAAGAGGCGAGGACAGTGACAGAAGAGTGCTCATCGAACAAGGAGGTAGCCCAGCTCCATCTGACTGAAGATGAGTATCAGAAGACAGTGAAAACCTTCATAGAAAGCCACTTATCCCTGAAAGGTAACTTTTAGGGCAAACTTGTGGATTGTAGAAATTAAAATGCATAAGATTGTGAGATTGTAGTTCAGCAAAAGAGAAAGGCAGGAATGCTTTAGCAAATGGCAATAACACTCTAACTTCATTGCATTTTGTTGTGCAAAAAAAAAATTTTGCTTTTTCCAGGGGAAAGAGCCTGCTTTGGTGGCTGTGAAGGGCCCCAGCAGACCCCAGTCCCTGAAGGAAGGCAAGGTAGGCCAAGGAAGGAGGGGGAGAAGGTCCTATCAAGGCACAGGGGGCTGGACTTGCTCTGAGAAGAAAATACAGAAATGAACAAGGGGGAACAAAGCACAGACAGTGACCTGAGGTGTGTCTGATTTTTAACCTCTTCCAGAATAAAAAGGAACCCAACTGAGCTCCCTCTTGACTCCTTGGCTGCTATGGGATTCATAAGAGTCAGGTCAGAGCTTTGTGTGGCAGGCTGGGACAGTGTCTCTGAAGCACACTGCCATCATTTCTGTGGGAACACAGGGCCAAAAGCAGCCTGCAGAGCTCATCTGGAACAAGCATGGGGCAAGTGTCCTACTGAGGGGATGGATGTAAGCACTGCTGAAGAACCTCCCCTGTCCTTCCTAGGTGAAGGGTGCCAGTGGGAAGACTGGCTTCTGCCCTGCTGAGTAACCCCTGGGATCCAGGGATCTGTATCCCCACAGCCATAATTTCACATCACTTGGGAGTGATGGAGAATTCAGCCTCAGCCATCAGGGCTGTACCCTCACTGCCCTCAGGGCTATGGGGTTACAAGGGAAGAGGCCAACCCCTCTCCTCCACTGTGAACCTCCCTAAGAGCCCACTGAGCTGCAAAGATCTCTCTGCTTCCCCATACTGCTGCCTTCCTTCTCCAGCTTCTCCATCCCCCTCCTCCATGCTCTTCTCTCTGTGGTCCCTCCGAGGCTCCTTTTGGGGTTTCCGAGGGCAGCGTCTCTGCTCACTCGCACCGAGCTGAGATCTCAGAGAATACCCACATCTCCCCCAGGACAAGTAAGACCCTTGCTACTGCTGCCCAGCACTGAAAGTTGTCTCTGTGCTCCCAGGCCCTGCAGAGGAAGGACATTTTGGAAGTCAGAGCACGCACCATGAAGCCTCCTGTACTGCAGACACCCTTGGAGGGGTGGTAGGGAACACTAGCCAGCACCTGCTGCTGGCTGCAGCTATTCAGGACACAGTTCTCTCACGTTGCTCTTCTCCTCAGAAGCACCCAGTAGACCAGCAGTGCCTGTGCAACTCTGCATGGCCCAGGATACATCCCCCTATTCACTGCCTGCCTGCAGGCTCCAGAAATGGCTCCCTGCACACCAGCAGTGGGTTTCAGACTGAGTGCTCAGCTGCCTGCATGAGAATTTAGGCCCATTACTCTAGGAAAATTACTCTGGTAAAACCTTCTTGTGTGGACAAGGCCTAAAAGCTCTCCAAGCTGAGTATCAGCATACTTGTGTTCTGGAAATGAAGAACAGAGGCTTTCTTAACCAGTGGGAGCTGGTGATTTCTGTGGGCCTGTGCTGTTCTAATTTGGCACAGTGATACCTGTCTTTTTTTGCTCTTGGTTACTTTGGTCCCCATGCCAGTTAAAGGCTTTTGTGGGTGTCTTGTTGTTTTGACAGGGTGATCTGTTGTAGGATCTGTGAGGTTTTACTTTTAGGATCTCCTGCATAATATTCACATCACAGATGTGGAAATGTATTTCCCAAGTGCTGACCCAATTGCATGGCAGATCAAAGCAGTATGTTGGGAGGGGGAAAAAATAAAAATAAAAGAAAAATAAAAAGAGAAAGAAAAACCTCATTTTTTTTCTTGGGTTTCTTTGTTAACACTTTCAAGTAAGTGCTGATATTGATTTTGCAAAATTTACTATGATATTTTTGGCATAGGTGAACATGAACACTCACCACCAACCGACTGATAAAAGAATTTAAACCAAATCAAAAGCCTGCATTAATGGGTTCCCACATGCAGTTTGGTCAGCAGGATCTGAGAGAGATCCTTCTCCTTGGCAGGAGAAGAGTTAATCCTGTAGAGCAGAAGCATTACACCATCTTCTCCATTTAAAAACTTCTCATGCACTTTGTGTATGCAATTTTTAGCTTCTAAAGAAATGAACCTTTGCTAATTTTTATGGGTTTTGTTGTTTTTTTTTTTTTAATTACTTGTCCCCATAGGACTTTTTTATGGTTGTATCTTTGATATGGTAAATAAAATGATACTTGTTCTATATAATCAAATTCATCCTAAATGCCTTTCAAAGTAACACAGTGAAGACAGAATCCCCTAGTCATGGTTCCTTCTAGAATTAAAATACTTGTAACAGCTAAAATCATCTGGCTTTCAATCTAGTACAGGCCCAGCAACCCAAATTTTCAGGAAAGCTAGTACATTTATTTTGCAGTGACTGTACAAATGAATAAGATGCTACCAGGCCTAAGGAGAATGTAACAAAGACACAGAGAAGTGCAAGTCAGCCCCGTTCCAAATTCTTCCTTTGCTGTGTGATTGCTTAACTTGTTTCATAAAAAGCCTTTGTTTCTTCTGGTTTTTAGCCTTTGGTGCTTTTAGATCAGATATTCAAACTTTCTGTGACCAAGAGGTCAAAGAGACAGAGGGAAAAAGATGAGAGAAGGAGTTTTATTGCTCACCTCCAGTAGCTGAGCTTGTGCTATCAGATATTGCAAGAGCTCTTGGCATCATGTCCAAGTCCTCTGGGATCGAGCTGCTTGAGAAACTGCTGCGCCGTGTTGCTCTTTGGGCAGGTTGCCTGGAAATAATGGCAATTGCTTCACAGTTTTCAGGATTGACTGCAGGGAGGGTGGAGTAGGGCAAGGAGGAAAAAATGTAGTGGGAGGCAAGACCCAACAGACAGCAACCTGACCTGACTCAAAAAGTGTTCAGACAACCAAAGTGCTCATCTGGTTAACTGCTGGAGCCTCTGCTGTCACAATACCTCAGGGTTCACCTGATCACACACAAGTCACAGGGCTAAGCAAAACCAGCACTGACTGTGCCAGAGGATCACACAATGGTTTGGGTTGGGAGGGGCCTTAGAGGCCATCTAGGTCCAACCCCAATGCCATGGGGAGGGATGCCTTCCACTAGACCTGGTTGCTCAAAGCCTCATCCAGCCTGGCCCTGAACAGTTCCAGGGATGAGGCAGCCTCTGTAATTCCTCAGGCTCCCAAAGGAGAGATGATCCTTGATGTGACCAATGCCTCACCCTGGACAGTCTTCCTCTGTTCATTCAGATCTCTGCTTTGCTGAAGTTGCTTACAAGAGTTCTGTTGGTTTTCATTGGGTTGGGATTTACTTTCTTGTATCTGAATCTCAGATAAGACCTGGCAACTGCTGGATTCTTTGGTACTTACCCATCCCCCTCCCTCTATCCCTGTTTCTCAAATAGGAAGGGCAGTAACTTTTACACAAGCACAGAAATAACTGATGCAAATTAATAATATCAGTTCCTAAATAATGTTAGGACCTGTCTGTCACCACCACACTTCATGTTTTTCACACCTGTAGCAAATGCATGTTTCCAAGCCTTGTTCTGCAGGCTCCAAAGGGCCTGGGAAGAGCTGCCTCAATGCAGACAGCTAGGCCAGTGGGAGATATTGGACTGTCATCCTTGGCCATCTGTCCTCATCTCCATGTTGCTGCTGGCAAAGTGGCTCTCATGACCTCTCCCTAAATTAGTGCAGGCAAGATCACCTTATCATTTGATCAGTTTAAATGAGTGTGTTAAGTCGTGTTAATCCAGCTCATTACTTTCTTCTGTGCACTGTGGGACACTGATGAAATCTCTTTGAGCAGAGCTGTGAGGGCAGTCACACCAGCCTGTGAAGGTACAGCTAATCCTGGGCAAGGAGGGGTGTCCACAGCTGCAGTGGCTTGCTCAGGGCTGTGCACTGAGAGGTTGGCAGAGTTATACAGAGACTGAGTTGTTGAGGTTTCCAGCAGCCCCATGGCTCCTTGGACAGTCTCCACCTCTTCCAAAGGTCAGGCTGCTTTTGCAGTTCTGCTGTGCAGCAGGTAGCAGTGGTAGATGCTCTCCAGGTACTTCCCCTTGCCTCACAACTCTCATTCAGCATTCCCAGACTTTAGTTTGCTGTACAGTTTAGTCCAGGAAGGCACTCTTGGGATAGAGATCCAGAAAAGAAGACCCTACAGTGAGCCTGAACAGGAGACAGAGACATTGGAACTGCTGCTTTGTGTGGTGACCACACTGTAGAAACTTTTGCTTCTAAGGATGCCAGTGTGGTTGATCAGGTTATGCTATTAGAAGGTAACCCTTACTCACTTTCCATGCTGTGCTTTCCATAGGATAAAGGCAAGGCCATCCAGTCATTCCTACACTCACAGCAGAGAGAAAGTTCAGCTTTCTTTTGGAACAGTCTAGCTTAGTGCATGGCATGAGCAGCCGTTCCCACAGCTGCAGAGATGGATTGAACAGATGCAATAATCATTGACTGCAATAAACTACGAGGGAGTAGGAATGAATAAAGCAAACAAAATCATATACTCATGCAATTTTAAAGAGTACTGCATTATTTAACTTCACTCAGTTACAAAAACTGCAGGCCACCTTGGATAAATCAGCCCATTTTCCAAGCTGTAAATGACCATGTTTGGACTTAGGAGTGAAATGAATAACTTTTGCAGCTATGTTTTTGTGTCATTAATGGGGGTTATCCAGTTTTTGAAAAACTGGCTTGCAATTATATTGCCTTCCTGTCTCTTGGGGATTTATCAAAACGAGAGAAGCACTTTGATACAGCAGAATCAGGGCTATGAAACCCAGAGAGAGAAAATAGATCTCATTCTAAAACTATAGGCTGGGAAGAGTTATTTATTTTAAGATGAAGGGGAGTTTCCCAGTCAAAGCTTTTTTTTAAAAGTAGGAATCTATGCATCCCCTGGAGTCAATGTGTCTTTTTCTTTTTCCAAATGAAGCCCTGAATCCAGTTCCTCTGGACATTTTATGGGAGGCCAATTTTCACTTCCTTAAAGTGGTTTTGGAATTCTCTTTTTCTGACAGACAACTTCTCCTCCAAGCACCGAGCACCTGGGACAGCCACATAGAACCTCCTGATTAAAGTGTTACACAATCCAGAAAACCTGCAGCAACACTTCTCTTCTGTCCCCATCCCTCACTCATTGCCTGTGGGCAGAGCCCATTTGGGTTCAAAACCTCCATCCCAAAGCTTTGGTTTTTTGTTGGTGGCCAGAGGATCACTGCTTGCAAACCAAGATCTTTAAGCAATAATTTAAAAAGCCTGTTGGTCTGCCCTATGTTAAAAAGAGGGTTATTTATTTGGGTGCATTCAGAACACGTTGCCATGCTCACCACCAATGTCAGCCATGAGTACAATATGGAAAGAGAAGGAGGTGAAAGAGCCATGCACTGTCAAGGCATTTTTTATCTTTCTTCCAAACCTTCTGTTTACAGACAGGAACAGAAGTGGATCAGTTCTCAAAAAGAAACCAAACAAAGCCCAGGCAGTTGGATACTTATTTTACACTGTCTCCTAAATTCTGCCAGAAGCCGTTTTTAGCATCCTAAACAGAATACTCCTCACAATGCCCCCGCTTAGCTCATGTGAATTTTAGTCCTAAACCATAAGTTTATCTTACAACAACCTCTAGACAAGAGTTTTATTTCCAAGCTGCATCAATCATTAAACCACACAAGACTGAAGAGTGTTTTTAGAGACTGCCAGAAAGATATCTATATTTATGATATGTCATTCTTTATACGAGCGATCAACACCTTTTCATGCAACTGCAGTGGCAGGATTGGACATACAAAGTAAAATAAACCCGAATGATCTGGGAAGCTATTTATTTATTTATCATTTATGCATGATGCTAAGCTAATCTCTGATTATGGAAGTCATTGGAAATAATCACAGGTGTAACATAACCCTTACACTAACTAAAAACTTCCCAGGAAAGAGCTTATCATTTCACCAGTTTAGAGATGTTGTCTTCCATTAACCAGAGCTGGGCAGCTTCTGACCAGAAAATATTTTGGAAAAATACCAGTATTGAAGCCCAAAGAGTTTTCAAACAATGCAGTTTGTCAAAGTGTGTGTGCCCCTGGATGTTTTTACTCTACCCCTTACCTCAGTCCTTCTGAAAAGGACTTTTTCCAGAGGTCAGTTTTAACAGGGAAAGGGAATCAAGTGAGAGAAAACATTTCTGCATCTCTGCTTTCCCATATTACAATGTTTGGAGACAGAAACCTGCTGAACAGTTCTAGCACATATGCTCAGAGACTTAATTTGGATTATATGGTAAAACTGAACATGCATAAAAATTGAACACTTCTGTATATGATAATTAAATACTTCCCTGATACAAATAAATTATCTTTGTGATTACACAACGTCTGAGTAGATTATTTATTTTAAATCTACTCTTTTCATATTTCCCATTTAACAAACTGTTTTCCCAACACGTAGGCTGCAAACTCCAAGGTAACACAGAAGGACTGTGTGGCATTTTTGGTAGGAAAAGTGGGACAGAGCAAACTCTTGTACAGAGTTCTCCTTGCAGCAGGACAGAGAAGTTGGCCAGGTCTGTGGTCAGCTCAGCCCCTGGAGCTTTGCTTTGGCACTACACTGTTCCTCTGCTTTTCTGGGGTGGTCCTGAGGGGACGAGTCTGGCAGATATAGCCCGTGGCACTAAAGCTCTTAAAAATCCCAACACAGAGCTGAATTTCACCCCTTGGTAGGCTGACTTAGTAATACTGATTTCAAAAAAAATGGCATAAGTTTAGGCCAGGCAACCATCTGCCACCAGAGGGTTAAAAATGAACTTGGTTTTTTTCACATCTATTGGATTAAAAATGCACATGGTGAAAACATTTTAGACCTGATGTTTCAATATCATTAGTCAAATAATTTGTTCTGACTGTGTTGTCAAAAAAAGAAAAAAAATAAAGAAAAAAAAAAAAAAGGAGTACTTTCCTTCTGTTCTTAGGTGCTTTTCCCTGGTTTCTAGAACTACATTTATTCTTTAGTTTTCACTGCTCTGGTTTGGTCAAATAGCTTGAAATCTATGAGCTGTCTGATAAGAAATTACCCTGCCAGGCAGCATTCATTTCTAACCCCTGACTGAATGTAACTTTTTAAACCAACAGACTGAGGCACAACAAATAGGTATTTTCAATAATGAATAGCATTCATATTTCCTCCCATAAAAACATTTCTCACCAGAGAACCATTCCCAGGGGTTAATCCAGACATTTACACCTGTATGTGTCTATCTTGCACAACACCTGTCTGCTTCTCTTACTGGCTTTCCCCTCTAGATCCCAGTGTTGGCATTTAAATTCCATTCTGCCTTGCCCTCAATGTAGAAATATAAACACCACAGAAGTCCATTTAAACCTTAGAGCAGAGCCAAAATTTAGTAGCCAGAAAGTTTTTGATTTTTCTAATCCTGTTCTGGATTTGAAGCGCTCTTTTCCTGTAAGTCCAGGTCCCTGTCCTTCATTACAGCCTTGTTTCACCACTCCCATTTCAAGTGGCCATTATTAAATTTACTGAGATGTCACCAATCTAAAGATAAAACTCCTTTCAGGTTGCTTGCCTTCCTCTCCTTCCCTTCAGCCACCTTTGTGGTTTCACATTAAATATACTAAAAATGCATTTTCTCTCTTTTTTTTGCTACTCAAGACTTGAACAAAATCAGGAAAGCTTTTAGTCCTCATTAGAGATTTGAATTTCCATCCTGTTTTAAATTATGGAGGGTACATTTTCCAATGAATAAACACACTGATGGAAAATTCCCGAGCATTTCCCATAACCATACACATAACATTAACTAATTTACCAGGTATCAAACTGCAAAGGGAGGGACCAGGTCCTTCTTATCCATCCATTCAAGAACAGCAGACTCCAATGTTATTTATATAAGGTCCAGAAAATAAAAATACAGGCAGAAAGATGAGAGTAAGTTACAACATTAAAAAAAAAAGAAAAAAAAAGAGAAGAGTCTATAATAATACAAAAGAAGCAAAGTCCCCAGATGTTTGGATGCCAGAAACAGAGGTGACAGGAAGAATGCTCCCGTCATCCATTTGCTCTCTGTATCCCTCTCTTCAGACCTCTCCAGCAGATTTTTATTCAAGCCACCAGCTCCAGGGCACAGATCATGTCTGTCTGCATCAGTCATGTGGATACTGATGCAAAACAGGTCGATGCATTGACTCTGCAACTCAGCCATGGCAGCAGGTAAAAGGAGACTTTGACTCTTAGCTCTGTTTTCTGAGAAGCAGAGAGGCAAAGTGCTGAGAAGGACAATTCTTGGCCAAAAAAAAGTCACCTGGAGCTTTTCTTGGGCTCTTGCTAGAACATTAGGGAGGCATTATTCTGGCTCTCTCTCACCAAGGCCAGGCAGGGCATTTCTTTCCTCAAGCAGGAAGTCACTGTCTCCTCCAACAGCACCCAGCCTTTCCCCTCTCCCATGGATGCACTATCTGGAGACAATCTGGAGCAGCCACCAGGTATTAGAGAAACATGACTCCTAAGTAGACACTGCATTCTTATGGGTCAGAGCCCCTTGGCACTCTCTTTTGAAGTTACCCAAGCAGATTAAAATCCCCTTTCAAAGATTATTCAGACAGAAATGCCCCAGTTCTGATTCATTTTTATTACAGAGTAAAAAACTTTTGTGCCTGGATATGCCCCCATGTGATATTTGGATGTAATGGCTTGGCATTACAAAGGGCATAAGAGCCTTAAAGAGAACAGGTCTCATTCAGTGATGGTTTCTAATAAATGTAATTTGATTTTTCCTCAAACATATTTCTTGGAAAATACTGCCCTTGCTTTGCTTCTAAGAAAAGCAATTTGCTAACATTTGTCTGATCATAAAATTGATTTGACCTTCTGCAAGTAATCTGACTTTCCAGCAGGTTGCTGAACTATTTGAAGTGCATTAGGTTGTTCATAGAACACAGCTTTCTCTTGTTTATTCTGGATAATCTATTCATATAACAGATGGAAACACTTCCAAAACTTTCATAGAAAGAACTTCAAGGAACTGATAAAAAAATAAATATTTGAAATTCCAGGGGAATATGTAATAACACATTTTGGTGGACACAGAGAGGAATAACTACCTTTGAACCAGCTCTGTTTCTAATGCTGTGACTCTTGCAAACTATGGCCCCCTCCTTCCCAGCATGGATGGCTGCTATTGAGCTCATTACCATCAGGTTTTTAATTAGAATGAGCTGCAAGTGGCAAGATTTCATCTATACCTGTTATGTCTTTGGAGAAACATCACCACGTGATTCAAGAATGAGGTGTGTGAGTTAACTTAGCTCATGTCCTGTTGATTTGGCAGGCATGTACGGGAAGATGAGGAAGCCGTCGATCCTGATATGGGATGAAGGGACATCAGACACACGTGGGGTACCTGAGAGAAAAACCTCCTGTGAGGGGAAGAAAGCTTTCAAGGCTCCACGCAGGAACTGCTTATTGCAGACAGGTACAGCTGAACATATTCCATTTTCTGACAATGTCTAGATGAGGGGAAAATATCTTTAAAATGTCACATTATAACATTCTTTCCAAAATTTCAAAAGCAAAGTTCGTTTGTGGCTGCTTCTCACCAGGGCTGGTCACAGAGAGCTTAAAATGTGGGTTTAAAGGTTTTAGCTAATATTCTGGAAAAATGTTGCTCTCAGATTGGTCTTTTAAACAAGACTACCTGGGTAGGACAGAGCCAAGATGTGCAAAACCAGCTCTGCAAAGCTCCCACTGTTCCAGGGACCAGCTGCGTTCCCTCCTCCTGACACAGAAAATAAAACCTCATGGCTCCCATAAGCAAAATGGAATTCAGTAACTGGCAGCACTGGGCCTTTATCAGATGGCAGAAATTCTCCTCCTGGCTTGCTCTTCCCATGGAAAATACTGCTGTTTTAGCATTCACTTGGAAGAACTGTATTGTCAGGGCTAGTTGCTTGTAGGAAGACTTCCTGATTAGAAATAACCCTCTAATTAAAACATGTCACATTCATTTGTAGTTACTTATTCAATTATAAACTACAAACAATAAGTTTGTAGTTTAGCTGTGTGTGAAATGTCCTCTGCAAGACTGCCACCACTGGAAGGTGTTCTTTGGGCTTGTAAGGGTCTCTACAACGCAGGCAGGTTCTGCCCCTGGGGAAGAGATGACTCTGGCTGTGGTGTCCCAATGCACTTAGGAAAAGAGCAGTAACAAAAATTAAAAGAGCAGGCAGCTAAATACTCCTTTATGAAATTGAAGGAAAAAATAGGCATCTCCTCCTTTCTCAAGTGGTAGGGATTAGATGTGGAATATATCCCAGAAAGATGATGTAAACAATCCAGAAATCTGTCTCCCAACTGCCTGATTGTCCCACCCATCCTTTCTCCCCACAACCCCTCTCTGGATCCCAGGCAGTCAGCACTGGGAGGTGCAGCACTGATGCTCACTGCTAAACCTCCTGCTGCTGGCTTCCATGACTCAGGTCATGTTTGGGGGGCACATTTGCACTGTGTGGAGGGAGCTCAGCTGTGAGCAGCCCCTTCCCCACAGCCCTGGTGCAGAGAGCAGTGGCAGGAATGGGACAGGGAGCAGTTCCTCCAGGGTGTTCACTCTAGGAATCCAAAGCCCATTGAGGCTGTGCTAACAAAGTTTGGTTTTCTGGGTTTTTTTTAAACATTAATGTCATCTTTTGCTATTGAGTTAGTGGTTTAAACAGTGTCACTTTTCTATTTGCAGCTCTCTGCATCTCAATCCTCTTTCACCCACTGACCTGTGTCTTGAGTTTCCTGAAGAGAAGCCCACAGCTGCTCGTGCCTCTGCTGAAGTCCAAAAACTGACAGGTGAGGCAGCACTCAGGGCTCAGTTTCCTGCCAGAGGTAACCAGCACCTCCCTTACCCCTGCTGGGACAGGGAAGGGGGACCCAGGTGGTGGGGAGAGGGCTGGGAGAACTCCCAGGAGCAGCCTCCTGCAGCACTCTGACACCTCAAGGACACTGCCTTTCTGCTTCAGTGTGGCCCTGAGGAGTCCAGCCCAGGGCACAGCAGTACATTCAAACCAGTAGCAAACAAGACCAGCCGGCTCAGTCTCCAACACTGAGGCAAAGCATTAACTGCTCTCCAGCAGCTCACTGGATTTTAAGATGTACAATAGTTCCTCTTAAAGGGGAAAAACCCAAAATATCCTGTATCTTGTTCATTGCTGGACCATCTGCCCCAGTTCCTGTACTCTCACTGCTGCAGGCTCTGAAGGCCCTTGAATTCCATTTACTCCAGCACATGGCTGGAAGAGCAATTGAAATGGTGTTCCCCAACATCCCTGCTTGAAAGGGAACACCCAGGGCACCCTATGATTCCAGGCTTTAGGGCAGGAGAGAAAACATTAAAAAAAAATTAAAAACAGAAAATAAAAGACCAGACTGTTCATGAGATGACCTGTCAGTGTCCCCACTGGGCAGTCTGATCTTTTCTTGCTAAAGGGGAGAGGGTCCCTGGCTCTCCATCTAACACTGCTGCAGGTTTCTGGTTCTCAGTAGCATCTTTAACCTTTCTGAGTGTTGGATCAGGGCCCACAGAGCAGGCTCTGGATGCTGCATGGAACACAGAGGGGGATACAGCCTGTTTGCCCCTGCCCTGTGTCACCAGTGGCCGCTGCAGCAGCTGGGCTGAGGCAGCACATGCAGCCAAACAGCAGCAGGAATGAACTCAGGGAAATGAGCAAACAGCACTGAAGAGTTGAAACACTCCTGCTGTCTTTCAGCCAGGAAGGAAACCCACAGAGCACTACACATTAGCACTGTCACACCACAATGAAAAAAAGGAGAGTAGCTGGGATCAGAAGTGACAAACTCCTGGCAGCAGGGGATTATGAGCAGTGACTTCAGTTGCAAGACAACAAAAAATGTGGATGAAGACAGAAAACACCTTCAGAACCATGACACAGGTCTGCAACTTCCTTGTAAGTCTAATCTGTAAGGAAGAGAACACCAAGACACTGAAATTTTGGGTTGTTCATTACAATGCTGTACTGTGCACACTGGGATATGCACAGAGGAAAAAACATCTGAGGTGAAAGGAAATAAAGGAAGAACTCTGCTGGGAAGCAAAACGCTAGGGTTTGGTTTTTATTATCTAAAGCCACAACTCAGAACTGCCTGACTGATGATAAGAGATGTCACCCTCCCAGGGAGCTGGATCCAGGGAGGAAAAGGAAAGCTTTCAAAACAGCTTGTGTAAGACATTAAACCAGCTTAATATCAAATCAGACTGAAAACAAACATTTTAATTCTGTAACATCAAAGCACTGAGAGAGAACATGCTAAAGCAGAAAATTCCTGAATTAAAAGCTTGAGGTTTTAGTCTTTACACATTTGGCAAATAACCAGTTACATGAATAATGCCAAACCCATATATTCTGCAGAACATCCCAGGAAATGTTTAGTCAGAACCCTGCTCTGTCAATTCTCTCAGTGTAAAATCCCATTCTGTGCACATAACCCTGTACAATTTCAGCTGATAACTGTTATTTTCTCCTCCAAAATATGGCAGGGGACATGTGTGGGCTGCTGCATAGCTACTGCTTCTCTCCCAAAGTGACATTCAAGCAAAGGATGCTGCCTGCTTGTGTACACTGTTGTATTCATGGTCTGAATTAGAAACATTATTAGAGACATTATGTGAGCAAAGCTCCTGAAGACCTCAGTGGAAGTTTTGCTGGCCCTAGGACTTGGGAACGGCCTACATTTGTTTATAAAGCTTTGCAGTCCATTGGGATACAGGGAACTACTGTGTGCAAGCATAAAATTATGACTGTGAGGCAATACCACCATTAGATAAATTATAACTTCACTTAAAAGTATGTTTAACACATATTAGTTATATCAAACTAACACTGAAGTTATAGACTGCTGAAGATGACTAAGGGATCTGAATGCCCAGATGCTTTTAATTTGAGTGGGAATGAGGGATTTGAATTCCTTAATTCAATAGTGTTGAATGTTTCATCACTAATGTATAACACAAAAAAATGAAAGCAACTGGCTTTTCAAGCCTACAAACCTGGCCAAAAGATTCTGGCAATGTCTTTTGAGACACATTTCCCCAAGCATACAGCCATTAAAATCAGAGATTCAGAAAATCCTGAAAGTATTCCAAGTCTTGATGAATGTTTTCAGAAAAAAAATCCAACAATTCCAACATGATTTTCAATAGATCACTTGGATCCATTTAATAAAAATGTAATTGGGCTATAAAAGTCTGCTAAAAGAAAAATAGCTTTAGCACCAAAATTCCATATCCTGCAACTCAGAACAGAAAGAACTGATCATCCAAGACCTGTTCTTTCACCTCAGTCTTAACTGCAATACTTCCATTTTTTTAACCTTTTTAAGAAAGTGCAGAATTTAACTTCAAATAGAACAGATTTTCCTGGGAAATACGGTAAAATTATTTCCCAACAGAACTGAAATGTTAGTGGTGATAGAGAACCAGAGGGAAGCTGGTTACATGAACACATCCTTTTACCACTTTAAATTATGTTAATAACTAATCTACAAGCCAGTATTATTCCTTTATAGATGTCTGCATGCCTGTCAAAAGATACTAAGAGAGGATCCCCTTGGATTAAAGACTCTCCAGCACTGTCACTCCCTTAGTAACAATATCACTCTATTTTTGGGGACATTTTTCTCCTAACTTTCCTCCCCTGAGCAGGGGTCAGACACAGGAACAGCTCCACTGAAGCCAGAGCAGGTACTAGCCACCTCCACGGTGGATATTGGGAGGTATTTCAGACAGCCTGAGGTGAGAAACTTCCCTTCATGTGTTTATTGTATTCAGGAAAGGACAAAGAAGGAGGAGAAGGCAGGGAAGCAAAATAATGATTAGTGTAATGGGATTTGCTATTCTTGTTAATAGTTTAATCAATATAAACATACAGAACCCTCTGACGTGCTTGCCATGCTCAAGTTTCTCTATAATTAGCTCAACACTCTTAAGCCATGGTTAGTACCACCTGCATTTCTACTGCTCACTTCTGCAACAAAGAAAAAAGCAGGACTGGGATTTTCTGTGTCTAAAATTCAGCCATGCACAAGTGACCATGCCTTGGTGTGTCCTGGCTGTGCTGGATACTCCAGACACACAATGTGGATGTGACAGGTCTTGGGACAGGTGGGACTTGCTCAATATGAGCAGAATGATTTTATGTGTGCTGTGCTCCAAGGCTCTGCTTGCACCAGACTTGCAGGTAGAGCCACACGTTCTTCTCACCTGCACTGGAGATAGCCCAACACTTCCAAGGCTTTGCAGATCACACACACCTGGAATCTATGCTTGTCACACAGTTTTTCCTTGGAGGAACAACTCAGCAGCAGCCCCTGAGCTGAGAGTTCATCAATGAGGTAGTGAAGAGATGCAAAAGACAGGAAAGCAAGAGACACAGTAAGATGAGGCAGAACTGGTCCCAGGGTGGGACATCACCAGGCCCATGGAGGTCACTGCAGTGAGGCTGGTGGTGCCACACAGGCTTTGCTGAGTTTTTTACTAGAGCAGTTGTGTCTGCAATTTGTGCCATGTCAATCAGGGGATGTTACTGGTGTCATACCACAGGACACAGCATGTGTTCTAAGGAGCCACAGGCCTTCCTTACAATCCTTTACCTTGATTTTAGGTAGAGAGAGAAAGAGAATTTGTGTTAACTTTTGCTCTCGTCTCTCTAAACAGATAGAGCCAAAAGCATATATAAACATTGTATTGGTGTATCAGTATAAAGCTCATTTAAAAGGCTTAAAACTGACTTTGAAATAAGCTGAGACAATCTCCAAATTGACAAGTGCAAGGCAAGAGGGGAAATAATCTCTACAAATGGCAGATTTCCCTGAGGAACATCTTTCTCCACTGCAAAGCTCGAAGAGGGGGGCACTCCTCCATCCAAATGCCTGTCCCCACAACCTCAGGAGAGGGAAGTTGTGCCATTTATAGCTGCTCATCTGTGAGCAGACACTGCATTGAAACTGTGACTGCCACAGGCAGCATCTGTCCGAGCAGCCTGGGTCCCAGAGTACAGGAACTCAGAAATCATGAAGTCACAAGATTAGTTTGCTATAATGTGTTTAATTTATTTTGGCATTCCCTAGGGATGAAAATAAATAGCAAAAATGAGTATGGGCAATGCTGTTGTATCAGCTCCGAGAAGCATGAAAAACCACAACTGCAAGAAACAATGTCTCATGGGTAGTTATTTTGGCCTTTTAAATATTTTTTTTTTTTAATAAGGAACAACTCACAAGTTTCCATTGTGCCACTTGGATGCACTTTGCACTGCACTGTGTCACAGGTCAGCTCGTGCCCAAGGCAAAGCCTGAAATACCATTCCCCACTGGAGCGCCAAGATTGTCACTGCACAAATACGTTCAAACAGATGCAAATACTGATAACGCAGCGATACGGGAAAAGCTCCATGCGTCCAAGGAGAAGTTAAATAACAATCCTCTCTTGCCTAGGACCAGCAGAACAAACTTCAAACGCCGATCAAAACCTTAAATACCCACTGCTACGGCTGAATCCTTGTTTCAGAAGGGATCTCCCACTCCTCTGCCTCTTTTCCAGTGGATGTGAGAACCTGTCCACCCCTACAGAGAGGACAGTGAAACTGATAGGAGCATTACAGAGTGTGACTTGGGGAAAAGAGAAAGTCAAGGGGTCTGGAGTTCTAATCCAGTGCTCCAGACAGGCTTTGGATAATGCTGCTGACTGATCGTCCCACAACATTTGAACTTGAGCATTTCTGTTAAAGAAATCTTAACATTTTCAAGAGCTTGGGTTTAGGAAACTGAGATCAAGCCAATTAGACATTGGTTGTCCCACCAATTAGTCAGTTTTCCTAATGAGGAGAATTCAGTGAAACTGCTTTCCTGGGAGCTTGTTTATAAAGCAAGTTCAGAAGTCAAGCAAAAAATCCAGTTACCTTGGTTATTCCCTATTTGCAGTACTACTTCTGCTGCTGCTTGGAGAGCTGTCAGAAACCTGTTCTACATTACTGCTCTCTATCAGCCTCCAAAACCATCACTGAGGGGCTCAGGCAAAGTTGAACAAAATCAACAACTGGTACTTCACACACTACTTATCAAGTGAGTTTCAAGTTAGATATTGTGATTTACTCCTTGCTGCATGCACCCTCCTACCCTGTTCTTCTCTGTACTCACACATATAATACTTGTTACCCTAGAAAGTTACACTTACACATTCAATGCTTCCAAGATGGAAAAACTCTGGATAACTAGAGCTGTACTGCTAAGAAAACAAGATACCCTTTCCATTGAGATGATATTACTGGCTCAGACTTAGTTAAGTCAGCCTGGATTTATGCTGGTAGATTAGTGTAAATCAGTCCCAATAGAACCAGAGGTCTAGAATGGATTTCCAGAGATTATTTAGTCCTCTGGTCTGGGTAGGGGAGGACATGCAAAGGCCATTCCTGACAGGGTCTAGCTTATTTTGAAAGAGTCACAGACCTCTCCCAGGAAATCTGCTCCAGTCCTTCACACTCCCTTAGAATCAGATTAGTTACTAAAAATAAAGTGCCCTGATTTTCCCCGGAAGCAATTTAGCCCAAAGATTCTTATCTTAACTGCCAGGGTCAGGAAGACCAAATTATTGCCTTTTTCCTTCACAGCAGCTGCCAGTGTTTTGGGGAGAAATAGAGTCTTCCCCTCAGCCTCTCTCTCCTGAGGATGAAACCCCCACCATCTTCCCTAGCAAATCAAGCCTTTTAGACCTTGGATCAGTCTTCCTGAGCCTTTTCATACTCAACCCAGTCCAGCTCAACTTTGAAGTACCCTAGGCAAAAGCAATGCTCCTGCTTGCTGGATTATTGCACTTGCCACAGGGGGAACAGTCCTGCTCACACACTTCATGTGCCTTTTCCGTAACAGCATGGTGTTTATTGATGATCAGCTTGTGAGCCATCAAAATCTTTCATCTTTATTGATAAGTCACCTACACATGTAGCTGTTGGTCCCCAACCTGTCCTAACTACAGAATAACCTATATGGAGAGTTTATTGTGATACATAAATCTGTTTCAGGAGAGGGACAATGCACTGTTAAAGCTGCATGGCAAGATGATTTTGGTGGGTTTTTTACCACCTCTCCACCTGCAAGCCTCATACTGAATTCTAACCCTGCCCAGTGTGCTCACAGCTTTCCCAAAGTGTTGCCAGCTGCAAGTTTAAAGTGCATTCTCCCTCTTGCCTCAGCCATCCCATGAAAGACAAAATAAAACCCCCCCTAAAACACATCCCTGTCAATTTTCCAACCAGTTTTGCATCCAAATATTTTCAGCCATATCATCATTATAAGGGCACATGTGAAGCAGCTTCAGAATTCAAATCTTTGAGTCTCGTGTCACAAAAAAAAATTTTGCTGCCTGTTACTCATCCCCTCAATTACTTTTAGGTGCTCTCCAATAGTTTGGTTATTTGTTCCAGTGTTTTTCCAGGAACTAAAGGTAAGCTGGCAGGTCTGTAATTCTAGACCTGCTTGTTAGCACCACTTTTGGACCTACAGCTCAAACCTGCACTACTGGGCTTTGCTCCAACAGACCACTTTAGCCCATATTTAATTAAGAGGGAGAGACATCTGTGGCTGTAGAGTGGTTGAGTCACATGCTTATTGCTACACATGTGCTTGGATGTTTTACTTGTTCCTAAGAATAGATACATATAAAAAAATCAAACAAAAAAACCCAACACACTAAACCCAAGCAAAACAGAGATGTATTTTCATACAATGCTTACAACTTTAAGAATGGAAATAGCAAGAAATACTAAACATTGATTTTTCACTGATCCTAGGAGATCATTCTCCAATGCTCTGTGATCATCTCCACTATGGTGACTTCTCCTGCTGCTTCATTCTCTTGTTTTGTTAGATCTCTCTCAAATCTCCCATAATACCTATTACATTATGCCTCCAGCACATTCTTCAGCCTTATTAGTTCTTCCTTTAAGGGAGATAATGAATTGATTAGATGTCACTTAATCTGTCATGAACTGCTATTGACACCTCTTGCAGCAGCATTCTGTGCATTCCAAGGGTGTTTTTATGCTTCTGAAAGAGAGAGTACTGACAGCTCTGGAGAGCAAGATTGATCTCACTCCCAGGCCAGCTCTGTCCAGAGCAGCTCAGACCAACAGAGCTCTTACATCTCCTGACTTCAGGATTACCTCAAGCAACATCCCAGAAGGAAACAGCACATTGAAAATGGTCAAAGGACCAGCACACAGCAACAGAGCTCTCCCAGACTCCTCTGCTGCTCCCCATTGTCCCCTCCAACCTCTCCTGATCCCTGCCTAAGGCAGTTTGCTTAAACACAGCCCTTGATCTCATGCTGCTGAAGCAAATGAACCACTTACAGCAGTGGAGTGAGCTGGACTGCCCTCCCCACTGGTAATTCCTCAGCTCTGCCAGCCCAATGGATAATTGTCATTGGAACAGAGTCAATGGATCATCAGGTGCTGAGTCCCAGCCCCTAACTCCCATCAGTTTTGCTCTGCTGGGTTTTCCTTCTTTCTGTTGCTGCTTGTTCCTCCCTTCCAAGCTCAGGATGGATGTGGTCAGTCAGGTTTTCTTCCACACCTCTTCTATCTAATTTCTTAACATTCTCTCCACATGAATTATTTCCCCAGATCAGCAAAGAGACCTCAAACCACACTGCTTATTCCAGATTAAATTTATCTTATGCATACAGAATTGGGGAGGAATTCCAGCTACCAGAGCTCTCTTGCAAGCTAATTATTCTTCAAAGAAGTTTTAGGCAGTCCTGGGGAGCATCTAACTATTGATTTTCTACTCTGTATAATTTCTCTGCAAAATGTAATCATTCTCCTCCTTTCTCATACTGTCACTTGTCTCTCAGAACAACCTGGGAACAATAAAATAGTGGGATAGAGGGCACCAAGAAGGGCACCATCAAAAAAGATATATCTCTGTGCAAGCAGGGGCTGTAAAAGCAAACCCAAGAAATGTCTGTAGACCTTGTTTAATATTCATCAGCCAGTGTAGGGTATAACTGAAACCCAAATGTAACTGTTCTGAAAATTCAGGCTAGAAGGAAATCAAATGGAGACAGCGCTCTCAGTGTGCTGCCATTTCAGAGTTTCTCATTTCAGGATTTCTAGAATAAATGTACCACAGAGGGAAATGTTATTGAATACATTGGTTGCTTACAAATGGCTACATTTTTATAGAAATACACTTACTGGGAAAAAAAAAAAAATTGGCAATCAGAAACTCCAAAGAACTGGCCTAGTATAAATCTATTCCTAAAACACAATTTTATGGAACAGCAAAATAAAAATGGAATTGAGACCAGCACATCTTAAAAATCCTGTTGTGCAATATTAAGCTGGGGTTTTTCCTCCATCTCCTTGCACAAGAAATTGTGATACATGATTAACTTAATGAACATTAAGAATGCCTTTTGGCTTCAGAAATTTAGCACCTTTAAATACACCTGTAATCAGAATATTTAAGCAGATACTGAATTCCCTGCTGCTGTTTAATTCCTGTGTGTTTGCTATGAGCTCCAGCCTATTTAAGGACACCAGGGAATCATGCTGAGGGACAGGCAGGCTCTGGAGGGGCCAGAACCGCCTTGATCATAATCAGGCGACACAGACAGGAAGATAAGGGCTTGTGAGGAGGGAACAGGGAGAACAGGGCAAAGCACTACTGCTCTTCAGTTCAGGGGTTTAGGAAAACACCTTTTTTCAGCTTCTGAAAAAAAAGGGCCTGTATGTTTTCATAAATGTAGGATAATATGAGGAGGCAGGGCAAAGGGCTCAGAAACTGCCCTAAACAATAACATTTCCATCCTGTTATCCTCAAAGAGCTGGCCCTGCCAGCCATGAACTCCCTCTCTGAACCCAGAACCTGGCTGTCTGTGCTGTCCCAGTGCAGGGCCAAGGAGGTAACCCCATGCAGTTGTTCAAAGATGTCAGGCTGGACAGTGCTTCTGGCAGCTGGAGATGGAACTGTGTCAGAAAAGCCAAACCTTCTTTTCCCTGGGCTTTCCAGGAGGAAACCAGACCTATTGATTAATTCCTTTTGCATAATGTGAGTGAGGTTTGGGACCAGAGGCAGGTGGGTGAGTGGTAGCTGCTGTCTCGAGTCACTCTCTGTGGGTTTCACATTGCACCAGTGAGCTTAGCAGCAAATTTCACTGTTTCTTCTGTTCAAAAGCCTTTCTGCTGTCTATGATACAGCTCCTCTTGCACCCCTCCAACTCTAAAATATATTTCCATCCTTTGGGCTTTTTTTTTTGGCTTTTTTTTTTGGCTTTTTTTTTTTTTTTTTTTTGAGGGGACATCAGTGTCTGCATGTATTATTCTTGTCCTGCACACAGGACGACTCAGACTTGTGAATAAGGAAACCAGGCTTCTCTGTCACGTTCATCTGATTTGATCTGTTCTCTTAGACCACTTCTCCTGCACTTCCTTACCCATCCTTGTGCTCTCACTACCAGCTGATACACTGCTAAGAAAAGGCAAATTATACTCAGTACAAAATTGCAGTGTAATTTCCACCAAGCTATTTCCAATAGAAATTGGTGTCTTGGATCCTCCAGCCTGGACCAACTGGCAAATGATGTGCCACCTTCTGGGCTGTCCTTGAACAGCTGAACACAAGGGCAATAGGAATTTCAACCACCCAGTCTCTGATTTATACCCTTAGCTAGAGAGGGATGACAGTAAAATTATCCACACTTTCCCCTGTACCAGCACTTCTCAGGATGACAGACCTGGGTGCTTTTCCAGCAGACTCCTGGCTGTGCTGGTCATCACCTCAAAGCATGATCTGCCCTTCACATGAATGTCACTATACTCTAGAAATACACAGTGATCTGGGGTTATTCAGCAGCAGCATCACCACGGGTTCTGTCCAGGATGAACAAACACAAGCCCTTCTGAGGCCTGTAAACTGATGGCCCCACGGAGCAGGGAAGAGAGATGCTTTTTGCTAAGAGAAAGAGCAGCACCCTCCTGTGCTCATGTATATTTATTGCACTGCAAACTCAGCTCTTTTGCTGCTCATCAGCACGAAGTATTTTTTGGCCATCAGCCTCCTGGGTCTCTTTCATTGCATCCCCCTCCAGCTGTGTTTTCAGGGATGGAACTTTTCCGCTATTCTTCTAAATCATCCCAGCCCGCCTGGTTTCCCGGCGGTATTTCCTGCTTGTCCGTTTGTCTGGCTTGCTCCCTGCCCGTCGGATCCTGGCTGATGTGCGGGCGCTCGGCATTATCGAACCCCTGAACCTGGGGCAGAGGGTGCTGCCCGGGGCTGCAGGGCAGAGGCCACTGCTGCCTGCACAGGGGAGGGAGAAGGTGTTCAGGACAACCCTCTTTTCCTGCAGGTTTCTCCCGCACAGGCTGCCACCTCGCGGGGATGGACTGGCACAGGCGTTTTCCGGGAAATAGCAACTCCCAAGTGCAAAGAGCTCATTACTGTCAATATTCTGCACTGATGATCCAAAGAAACCGCAACCCTTCGGGTCCCTGGCTTGGCAAAATTGTACAAGTGTAGAGATGATAAAGTTGTTCAGCTTCTAATGTGGTTGGGGGGATAAGTTCTCCATAAAAACAAGAGCTCTAACTGGCAAATCTATAGGTGCCATGGTGGAATATTAGTCAGAAAGAGCGACATTGGAACACTTACTCAAAAGCTACAGCCCTGCTGCCTGTGTCACTGTAGGAGCTCCTTGTATGAGTCAGATTTCACATTTCTATCTCTTGCACGGTCAGAATCTGCATCAATCAATGTAAATATGTCCTCTGCTTTTCCAGGCACTTAATTTACACCATGAATCAAAATTACTGGAAGTTAATTCTGGGCAGATTTCGAGTAGGATATTTAAGGCCTGGGTAAACTTCTTTAAAATCTGCTAATTCTTATGCTGGATCAGTTTATTGAAAAATCATTGAACCTATTTTGTATTTACACTAATACCACTGGAATTTCCCAACAGTGTGACAGTGTAAGGGCTTTTCATCAACTGGGAAGAGTCCCTGTGTTCAGACATACGCTGTTTCTCAAATAAAATTAACTTTTAACCAGAGATAAATCCTAATTTCATGATGTTGTACCCCTTTTTCATTAATCCTCAAGTTCAAAACAGTTGACCTGATGAAAGCGTATCTGCACTGTGTGCCTAAGGTGAAAATATGTCCTGGATGAGACCATTTTGATTTCAGCACTTTCCACATCTTGTCACCAGGAAGAAAAGGAGACTTGATCTCCCCTCATTCTTATCCTCCACCTCCAACTGAAGTTCTCAGTTTGCTGTGCTGAGGTAATCCTTCCATGACAGAAGTGTGTATTAGTCTGTGTGGACAAGCAGCCCAAGCATTTTTACTCCCTTGGGATCATTTTGCAGTAGCATTTGGAAGTCAGAATCATCCCACATTTGTCTTTCAAGTCAGAAATGAGAGACATACAGCAGTGTTTATTTTTTTGTTTGTTTCTGGAATGTGTTATTTAGAAGGTATAGGGTGTCTTTTCACTTTCCACACTGCCCCTGCATAAGGAAACTCCAGCTGAACCATCTGTCCCTGGGCCAGGGGTGTTCCAGCTGAAAAAGGATCAGTCACTTCAGGTTAGAGAAGATGGCAAATTTTCCTGCTTCTAGGAGAATTTTCTTTCCATGTCTCTCTCTTGCTTTGTTACCACTCCAGTACTGCCATAAAGTACTTAATCTTAGGGATTTACTAAAATAACTTCTGACAAATGGAAAACTTAATCTCTGGAATAGTCTGGACACCGTATGCAGCGACAAGTATTTGAAAATGTTTCATGGGTAGAGATATTCCTGCCTTGCCTTTTAAATAGAAGTCATCTCCCTTTTTTTGACACATTGAGCAATATACATAGCATCCTAAATCTGTTTTGTCAACTGAGTCCAGAGTTTTTTAAAAATATGCAGCAAGATTTTAATACAGCTCATCACATTATATAGAACCAGACATCCTGCTTAGTCCTCAAAGGCTCGATATTCCCCATGCACAGCCCACATGCAACTGCTCCTGTCTAATTCCATGGGATGACAGCCTCCCATTGGCTCCTTTCCTTTGACACCACGGCAGAGCCTTCTCCCAAAGTAGGACGTGCAGCTCTCCAGCTCAAAAAACTGTAAGCCTTTCTGTTCAGACTATCTTTGGCTGTTTAACTGCACCAAACCCCCATATTTTGACTTTCTTCCTGGAAAGCTACTTGTCTGAGTCCTGAAATGCTTGCCCACAGATGCAAATTCAGTGTCAGCTTTTTGGGTATTTGCAGCAAGCAGCGTCATTTATGTGTTAGCATTAGAAGTAAGAACTTAATTTGCTGAACTTCCAGATGGACTGGTCAAGATGACTTATATGTTTGTTTTTTTTCTTTTGGATAAGCATAATTTTCACCAGCACCAAAAGGTTCCATAAGCCTGCCATGCTGTTTACTGTACAATAGCAAGAGGAGTGTTACATGGTCTGGGGGCTGAGGTGACAAGACAGAATGGATGCCAAAGAGAAGTCACATTTGTCAGGAATTGTGTGATACAGCCAGCTCCTATGGGTCAGAGATCCTGATCCTGCACCTGAAAATCATGAAAGCTCCAAAAGCATTAGAATGTTAAAAGAGGGGTCTGTATTTATAGTTCGCTGGAGCTTTTTGGAGGCACTCTGTCAGATTATCAGCATTTTTACAAAGCTTTGACGAAGTGGATCTCTGCACCAAAAGGGATTCGTGTGAAACCAAGGATGGCTCTGCAGTTATCTTAAAAGACATCAGAGTTTCCTTGCTTCCGTCCTTGCTTCAGAATACAAAAAAAATAATGACTTCCACATGATGCCGGAGAGTTGAGCCTGTAAGAAAGACATCAAAGACCATTACTCCTCCTACCCACTGCTGAGAGTGGGCACCACTGAGCATGGCAGATGGCAAATTTTGAGACAGCTCCAGTTTGCAATAAGGCTGCCAGGAGGGGTAGAGGGCTGAGGGAACAGGAACAAGAGAATGAGTAAAATAAGCAGAGGTGAGTAGATATGATAATAGGGAAAAATGTAAGATGATTAAGAGCAGAGAAAAGCTACACTGCCTCCTCCCTTCCCTTGTAGCTTGATTTTGGCTGGAGTTGTGCTGGACAAAGATCTGTGCATATTATTTAAATGCCCCCAAGCAAGCTCTGCTACTCACGGCCACTGATCCTCTGCTCAGGAATGAGGTAAAAAGGAGATCTGTGTTCCCTGAAATCAACCTGGAAGTCCCAGGGTGCAGTAGAGGAACACAGCCCATCCCAGCTCTCCTTTATCCTGGTCCTTTACAGAAACGTGACAGTCCTTTAGAAAGGAAGTTTGTTTTGAGGGTAGAGATAGCATGGCAACACAATAGCAAAAAAAAAATATTATGATGCCTTCCCAGAGCAACTTGTTATTTCACACTGTAAAATTTACTGGCATTTTACACAAAATAAAGCTATAAGCTTTGAAGAAAAAGCTTCAGAGGTTGCTGTTCCCAGAAATGCTCACAGAAAGAGCTGAAGATTCCTGGACATTTTCTGAGAGCAGAATTTTCCAGATCCCCATCAGTATCAGTCTCTAAGTCTCTTCCACTTCCTCATCTACTTCCTCAGAATCCAAGCCTTCACTTAAGACTTGCTACAGGTAAACCACAACTAACTGGAATTGCATAAGAGGTACAACAGATTAAGATAGAGCTAAAAACTTCATTTTTTAAAATTAAAATAAGTCCTAAAGATGGGAAAGATTTCAGAAACTAGACAAAGTATTAAATTCAAAATACATATTATCATGCAAGCATGTGTATGTGTGTGTACACGTGTGTCTATATATTTGAGTTAGGAACAGAATACTATAAACCAGAGGAAAATCATTCGCAGAAATAAATAAATTTTACTGCAAATGTGCTGCACTGGAGACCTAAGTGGCCTCATTTCCTGGACTAGGTAGTCATGAAGTTGTTTTTAAGTGTGAAGGACACAGTTGCAATCCATAACTTTCAGCCTAAATGATTCCATTGCTTTGAAAACATACTGCTCCTGTTCTCAGATGGGAGTGTGTCACATTTGTGTACCACCTTTTTAACACCTTTAGGTTTACTTTTTTTTTTTAACAGAGCATAAAATTCAGAGGTTAGTTTGGTCACCTCTTAGTCTTCAAGAGAATGGTTTTGTCACTGCCTGTGATCCTTATGTTATTAACAGGATACAAAAGCTGAGAGAAGAGACTGGCACACATGGATGAGAGGTGGGTAGGAGTCATGGAGGAGGAGAATTTGGAATCCCTCCCTGTCTTTTTATGCCTGAGGGAACCAGACAGGGAAGCTGGCTGGAGGACAGGCTGTTATCAGCTCTCATGATTTTGAAAGTTGCATAATTAATTTGTTAATAAAAAGACAAAGCTTTGTGACTCATGTAGTTGCAGAAGACTGAGTGATCTTTTAAAGGCTAAAAAGGGGAGGCATCTCCCAGTGTGATGGAACACGATCAAATAAATCCTACTGAGGACAAATATCTGGGTATCTTCTTTGGGGTTTACCTCTCCATGTCCTACTTTGTCTCCCAGCAGCAAAGCACAACCTGCTTTCCCAAGCCACTAGAGGCTTTGAGTCCTATTATGCAATGCCTATGGAGAGCAAAGCAGAAGAAAGGGAGAGTACTTAACAATTTAAAGTTGAAATAAACCTAGGCAGATGTGCAGCCATCGAGAGTAAAAATACAGGAATGCCTTGGCCCCTGGAAAAGCAAATTAAACAATAATTATTCCCTTTCTCCTTCAGATGTCATTAAAAACTTTGTGTCAGTGCAAAGGTATCCCCAAGCAAACACAAACCACAGCTGACTGCAGGGATCACACAGTTTCTGGAGACTCCTGGACAGCCGGGCAACACCAGTGCAGAAACCCACCTGCCACAAGAAGATACAGACTGTTCACTAAATATAAACAGGGCTGACTGGAGAGCCACAGGGATGTAGTTTAAGCAAATATTTGGGACCTTCTCTGTGTGTGTTAAGACCTGCTGCTTCTTTTGCTGCTGTGTATATGTCAATGAATGACTGCCCCCTTTCAACTTTAAATCACAATTAATAAAGGCATCTGGTTCTTTCAGTCATTTCATTTTACTCAGAGGAGGAAGATATGATAAAGTATCACTTTCAAGAGCTGCTTGGTGAGTTGCTCAGATAAAAGAAAGGGCAGAGAAAATCACATTTCTCCTGTAATTGTAGCTCTCGGGGATTTTTTTTTTTTCAGCAATGTATAATTGTCACTTTAGCCTACAAGAAACAGACATTTTCCTTCACCATGGGGTAATGTAGCCACCCTTGAGAAAACAACACAGACCTGAGCCGTAAAAAACCCACGTGAATTTAATACTGCAACGTAACAGATAACATAAGATACAGCAACTATAACATAATAATGCAGCTGTTTTAGAAATCCCCACCTGACCGATCTAGAAACACTCATGGCTGCTTCTATGTGTGCCCTGTGGCCAGTGTGTAGTGGCGGGACTGTGTAAACTCAGCTGAGCCGGAAAGCCGAACTGCCCATACCGCTGGATCTCGGCATAACCCAGCTCCCTTTCGCCGGCGCAGCTCCAGCTGACCAGGACATCATGCTTCCAGCCTGCGCTTTCTTTTTGAAACCAAAAGTGGGGAGAGACCCCGGTGGGAAGAAACCAAGCCCCGGCCTTCACGAGCATGCAGCCGCTCGGAAGGGCCGGGAACCGGCGGGATCGCGATCCCGGGCTCTCCGGGGCGGGGCGGCGCCTGCGGGCGCCCGCTGCTCTGGGGAGGGGATGCCGGGCAGGCGGGGAGGGGGTGCCGGGCTGGGAGGGCTCTGCCCGCAGGTTTCCGTTCCTCCCTCGCTTCCAGGCAGCGCGGCTGTGGCGGCGCGGGCGGGATGTGGGCAGCGGCCCCTCTCCTGCTCCTGCTCCTTCTCCTGCTGCTGCTGCCGCCGCTGGCGCGGCTGTGGCGGCGCGGGCGGGATGTGGGCAGCGGCCCCTCTCCTGCTCCTGCTCCTTCTCCTGCTGCTGCTGCCGCCGCTGGCGCGGCTGTGGCGGCGCGGGGCGGCGCGGCTGGAACCGGCCGGGCGGGCCGTGCTCATCACGGGCTGTGACAGCGGCTTCGGGCACCTGCTGGCGCTCCGCCTCCACCGCCTCGGCTTCACCGTGTTCGCCGGCTGCCTGTGCCCCGGCGGGGACGGGGCGCGGCGGCTGCAGCGGGAGGCGGGCGGCGCCGGTCGCCTGCGGGTCCTGCGGCTCGATGTAACCCGCGCCCACGACGTGCGAGCCGCCAAGGAGCTGGTGCTCAGCCACCTGCCCGAGCGAGGTGAGGCCGGCGGGGAGAGAGGGCGGGGGGCTCGGCTGCCGGCAGCGCCAGGCACCGGCGGGCGCCGTGTCGCCAAGACGGCGGCTCGGTTCGCCCGGCACTGCTGGCTGGGAGGTACCTGAGAGGGCCGGCTGGACTGTCACAGCGTGAGGGTGGCGAGCACCGTCACTGATGGGCTAAGTGCAGTTACCGCTATCGGTAATGACAGCAGGATTTTATTAAAAATCCCTTGGTGCGTACACGGACCGGTGTCTGTCCGAAGGTGCCGACGGTGTAAAGTGGGCGTGCTGCTCAATGGCGCCACGGGGGAGCTTCACCTTTCCACCGGGACAGGATCTCCCAGAGTGGAGCGGCCCTGGAGCCACTCTGCTGGTACCCAATAGATGAAAACGGCAGAGAAAGTGCAGAACAACTGTGCAGGCATTGGAAGGATGGGAATGTGATGCCTTTCTGGGCATGACTTGTGAAAGAGGAAATAGGTACAAGAAACGCAGCGAGGGCAGCCGCCGTGCCATACCAAAGCAGCTGATTCTTGGAACCACTTGAGGTTTGCCAGGCTAGTCCCTGGAGAGGTTACTGAAAGGGAAACGTGTCAATTATACACCCTACAGGGAGTGTGCACCCAGGGGAATGGATAGACTTAGCTCCAGAATAACTGCAGACAATCTAAATCCTGGGTTATCCCTTCAGCACACATGACACAGCGCAGGTGAGGAGGCCACGGTCACCTCCTTTCCCACTGGGACTGCATGGTGAGAATTAGCCAGTGTAATTCTGGGATACGCTTGGTGTAGAGCAGATTTCCACAGGCTCAGAAGTGGGATTCCCTCCAAATCACAAACAAACACTTTCTGCTCATACAGGGAATAAAAGTGGAGAAAGAGGCACAGGGAGAGATAATGAAATGCAAGGCTTCTGCCTGCCTGGCTTATTAGCTCATTGGGAAGGGGATGGAATGAGAAGTGAAGGAAAAAAAAGCCACATTGCTCATTAAGTACCTGTATTTATGGTTGATCTTGACCTTATATTACAAAGCACAGCTTTTCTCCTCAGGCTTTTCCTCAACCTACAGACGAACACAAGTGTCTCCCAAAAACCCTTAAAGGCTCCTTGGGCACCAGGCCACTTGAAACTCTGGGTTTCACATAATTTATCCTGCAATTCTGACAGCTTATGCTGTCCTGCAATGGTTGTGCTCATGCTGCCATGTAGACCCTGGAGTCCAGAGTCAGCACTAACTTGTGGGCTCTCCTTGCTGCTTACAGGTTGTGGTTGTGCCTTCAGATCAATTCCAGGTCCCTCCAGACACCCAGCACGGCTGGTGTGGAATGCAGCAGGCATACAATGTGTGCACAGGGTTGTTCCTGGGCTGTCACTCAGGCCCTCACGCCCGGGACACTGGGCTGGGCAAGCACATACATTTTATGAAACCTTTTTACATGGCTGGGCAGCTCTGCTGCTACAGAATTTTGAGAGTATTCTGCAAAGGCAGAAAAGTAAAAGCAATGTTATAGATCCAGGTAGTGCAAAGGCACAAGAACCCTGAGTGATGAAACCTTAGGACATTTTCCTTTGTGGATCATGGACAGCCACATCCAGGGTCTACAGCAGAGAACTGACCAAAGTGGAAATCAAATGCAGCTCAGACATTTGTTATGAGGAGAGCAAAGAGTGGGTGGTGAGGCCGGTAGACTGTTGTAAATAAGTTCTGAACAGATAAAATATCCAATGGCTTTTGGTTTTTGCACAAACAATTCAAACTGTGTGGATGTAGGGATCCAGTAGATTGTGCTGAAAGGTTACAGTAGATCATGCATTACCTTGCTTAAAAGCTGTGAAAGCTTCCACCTTTTAAGTAGCTGCTGGAAGTGCTCTGTATGTCACTGTTAGCTTTTAAGTACTTTGGGACAGTTTTCTCTGTTTCTCCCTCTCCCTCCTTCACAATAGGACAATTCTCTTCAGCAATTTCCTGTAGAAACTGTGAAGAGGAACCTATCCCTGGGAATCACTAGGTACTGCTTAGGGATTATTCCCTCTTGTTTTGCCATTTTAACTATAATCAGTTTCACACAGGTATGAAAGATTTTAAATTCTGAATTCTGATCACCAAAACATTCCTGTATCGTTCCAAAAATAGTCACTTCAATAATCCCAGGCCTAGTGGTAAGTGTGCAAAGGCCACGGATTCCAAATGCAAACTCAGAAGTTGGGCCAAAATAAAGAGAAAACAGTTAAATGATAATTGTTTTTTGCATGCCTGCATTTAAATAGTTCAGAGTAAATCCTGGTAAACATTAAATATTCTTTATGATTACAGCATCATCCTTTCCATGGACTATGCATCTCAGACTAGTAGGGCTTTTTGGGAGATACGCTGTTTTTTGAGTCTCCTTAATCTGCCTTTTTCCTGGACCCAGGATAAGTAGACTTAAAAAAACTAAAAGAGACTTTCTGCTTGAAGTAGGCCATTTGGTATAAAATGTACACAAAAAATATGTAAAATATAAGAATAAAATCAGAGTATCAGGAATAAAATACAGTTCTCCCTACTAGTTCTGCTGTAACCATAACTAGCCCAAGCTCTTCATTATCTTCTCTCTCTCTGTTATGCAAGAGTAGAAACCCAAAGCCGATATGAAGTAGACCAGGACTTCAGAGCATGGTGATTTGCAATTCTATTAGACTCTAGAGCAAACCTCAGAATTTTTCTGGTTTTCTTCTGTTTCAAACCAGAATTTCCCTTCCTTTTCTTGCCTGTTGTGAGTGGGTGACAACTAGTGGGCTAGCTGGAATGGAGGGATATTAATGTTAGTCCCGCTTCCTACTCCAAGGTTATTAAGTACTCTCTTACACTTAATTATGATTTTCTATTCATGGCATTCACCCATGGTACAATATTTTAGTCCAGACTCCCTATAGAAATAGATTATCCTTACAGTGAAGAGAATTTCTGTATAATATTCCAAGCAAAGGCTGGTGACTCATGAATGGATGTAAATATAACTCAGGAATCTCATCTGGCCTCGTCTGCATTGCCACAAACAGACTGGGTTGTTCCCTCTCCTCATTTTTCCAAAGGAACACGGCAAATCACACTATCCTGCCTTTGGCTAGGTCTGGAATCTATCAGAAAAGAACTTGTCATTTTCACATGGGCTCAGACTTAGAGAAGAAACTCCAACGATCAGTGATCCCAAGAAAACCTGTTAGAATTTGGAGAGTGTAGCAGAATTCTGGTATTATCTGAGTGTTGGCACCAACACAGAAACAAACTGATTTTCAAAAGGTTTTGCAAACCTGCAGCTGCATTAACTTTAATAGAAAGAGGACTTTTAAGAGTTTGTGGAAAAAAATATCAGATATCTTTTGGGCCGAAATAAGGACTTTGGATTTGTGCCTTTTGGTCACCATGTTGTGAAGCAGAAATTATTGGGGAGCTTATGTGAGAGCTGGTGTTCTCCAGAAAGCTTCTCTCACTAATCTTAAGTTCAGTTTCCTAAAGTGATTCTTAGACCCATGGCTGTATCTTTTAATCTTTGTTATCAGGATCTATTTTCCCAACGAAGAGACCAGTGAAACTCTCTGTGACATCCAGTCCTGCTTTCCAGTTTATTTTTTCCCTGTCTTCTGAAGCATAGTCTAACACCTCTCTTTATAAACTGTGTTTGGACTGAGTTCTGTTTTGACAGTCTGACACACCAAACATCAGCTGCTTTTTCCAAATGTGTCTCTGCATGGACATTGAGGAAATGCAGCATCAGTCTCCTTCAGCTGTTCAGTCCTTGTGCCTTGGCCTTCAGGATTTCCATCCGCATTTTTTAGGTTACCTGAGCTGCATTTGTCTAAGCAAATTTACAATATGTTTTGAATGCACATTTATAGCATTAATTTTTACCACAAACATTTCAGGAAAGGAAGACCAAAACAGATTCAAGTACCCTGAATACAGAGCTGAGCAGGTTGTTTCTCAGGAAGTAGGAAATATCCTGAGAAAGTGGCATAAGGGAATAATGAACTGTTTTTCATTTGGGTAGAATTTTGTGAATTGATTCAGCTAAACAAAGTGCCAGGAAACATTCTGGAAAATATCAGAACATTTCCCATTTGGGAATTCCAGAATGTTCTAAGAAACAATACATTTTGCTTAAGGGCAAACAAAGTGTTTTGAGATGACCGGGTGCAAAGTGTCTTTTTTTGTTTAACTTAATCTTCTCTTTAAAAAGTCTGTCTTAGTTTAACTCCCACCAATTTTCCTCTTCATGGCTTTTGATTTGGATACTACACAGAAGGAAGGAGCCATTATTTTGTGAGCTCTGTTGATACACACAGGCTGGCCTCACCAGCAGCCACCTGGAGGCTTTGAAGCACACAAGGCAAATGGCTGGAGAAAAAACTTAAGCCTTGCAAGCTAAATTCTGAGTTTCACAGTTTAAAGAAATAGGAAGAAAATCAATTGTCTAAAGATTAATGGCTATATTTCTGAAGGACTGATGAAATCAGGGTTATGTGGAGCGAGTGTTCTTTCTGTGCTGCACAGAGTTCAGTGGCAGAAGCAAAATGACTGTTTTTAATTAGAAAAGGTAAAGCTGAAAAGATCAGAAAACAGCTTTTGTTATGATGCCAGGCTTTAGTTTGGGTTGTGTTAGCTAGGTTATGTAAAAATAACCCTGAGTATAGAAACCTCCAGCTTTGAGCAGAAACAGATGGGGTGTGCAGCCACTCAGCCCATCTGCAGATCAGATCACATGCAAGTACAAAAATACTGATAATTAGCTTCTACAGAGGGCTCTCTAAGCCATTGATCTGGAAGCATTTTATGGGGAGGTAAGTCCCATGGGGCTGGGTTCCATTTTGAGATGGAGAAATAAAGCCAGAGAATGATGGAAAGACATGGAACAATACAGCAGTGGCAGGGGAAAAAGGAAGTCCAGGATACCCAATTCCATGGCCAATTTTTAAGGGCATTTCCTCTCCTCTATCTGCTAACATTTGGGGCCACGGAACAGAAGTGAGTCCAGAGGAAACTGTGGCATTACTGGGCAGCAATCTGTCTGTAACTGAAGTTGTAAGAAAGGTCCAGTGTCAAGTATTGCTGTGTGACAGGCTGCTGAATAGTGATTGATTCTCTTTGGAGGACAGAGTTATCCAAGTTCTGGGGGGTAAATTCCTGATTTTGAGTGTTTTGCCCTGCAAATGACATTCACTAAAGGAAAACAGTTTCTTTCTCTGTTTAAAGGCCGATTTTATTAGGTAATACATGTAGTCGTGTACATATATGTTAGAAAAGCTTACAGGGGTCTGCTTTACAAATTAATTCCAAAATTTTAAAGTTTCATCTTTCACTACTTTTGTGAATGAAATCTAATACTGGCAGTTCTTGTCAGGGCTCTGGAAGGACCAAGATACCATGAAATTATTTCAGTAGGTTTGTTGGAGAAGATCAGAAAGGAAAGGGTTCAACCCAAAGGTTTCTGCAGTGCCTTCACTAAGGTGATCAAAAGTCCCTTGAGAATCACTCAGCTGCCACAGGTACAGGAGGCTACAGCTGGGTCAGCGTCACTTTTTCCCCAAACTCTTGTGTCCAGAGGGAGGAAGAGAGGCACTAAAACCTGCTGTGCCTCTCCAGAAATCCAGGATTGGAGGTCCTGTAGAAGGCACGACAAAACAACTATTTGCCTTGGACACCTACAAGGGTTCTTTAAAAGAAATGCATGAGAAAAATTGTCAAGGCTGGCAGAACTAAACTGCAAATTCAGCTGTTTCAGCGCCAGTCAGGCTGCCCTGGTACTCCTGAGTTACACTGATGGTCACCCTGGAAATGCTGTCAGTCAGGACTGGAGGACAGGAACAGAAATGCACTGCATCACTCTGTGCTTTGCTGTACATGCACAGTTACAGGCTGTGCAAGGCAAGAACAGTCAGCACGGTTTAATCAGCGCTTAGGCAGCGTGTCAGCTCCAGCCTGGAGTGCTCCCCACTCCAACACACAGCATTCCCACAGCCCTGTTAGCACTGCACAGGGCTCACAGGAGACCTGCTGTGCCTTTGGGCTAAAGGCTTAAGCTTCCTGTCACTGAGCTCTGCTAGAAAAAGTTTTGCTGCCAATATGTTTCTGCTTGTAAACACTGAAATCTTTCTGTTTGTCAGGGGGCAGGCTCTTTAGCACCAAAATCTGTCATTACATGGGGAATAAAATTATTCAAAAGTACAAAACTGAAAAAATACTGACCCTGATTGGTAGCCACTGACCCTGCTTGGTTACTTTACCTCATGTTGCAGCCATGTACCTGATTGTGGCTGATTTCAGAAGAAATCAGAGCTCAAATCTTGGAAAAAGATGCAAGACGTAGGCTCTTAAATTAGTCAGGCACTTTTAAAATAGTGCCCCTTAGCCTTTAGACTGCTTAATATAATTTTCACAAAGCTGCTCATAGCACACAGTGGGATTAAAGTAATTAAAATATCATGGTAGACCACACTGGCAGTAAAATGTAGTCTCAATGAAGCCTCCCAGATCATGTTATTCATAAATATCTTAAGACAACTGTAGAGTGAGGGATTATTAAATAGCACTGAGACTTACAGGAATGGTGTCCCTGAACATGGGAGGAGGGGGATAGAACTGGATGATCTTTAAGGACTTTCCCAACTCAAACTATTCTATGGTTCCATTTAGTCCAGATTATGGCTACAATGGCATTCCTTCATTAAACAAAACATGCCTGCACTTTTAAGTGGAAAAGATAAAAATGTTATGTAACTATACAGTTTCCCCCAAGGGTCCGAATCAGAGGTGTTGCTTTGTTACCTAACAGTGCTTGCTTTGCAGTTAAAGATGCTTCCTGACTCATTTCTCTTCCATAGGTTTCTGGGGGCTTGTCAACAATGCAGGAATATCAACATTTGGCGAGACGGGGTGGCTGCCTATGGAGACATATGAAAAATTTGCAGATGTGAATCTCCTTGGGAGCATCAGGACAACTCTGGCATTTCTCCCCCTTCTAAGGAAATACAAGGGTAATGCTAATCCACTGTTATTTAGAGTTGTAGAATAATTAGCTTACTATAATCAGGGTAATGTAGCATCTATAAAAGAGGCTTTAATTGTCTCTCATTGAACTGAAACGACAGCTTCCTTCTGTGTGGCCTGAAAGAGCAACTTGATCCTGAAAAGAGGGTAAAGTCATAAGGGGAAAAAATATCCTTAAAGAGTCTGTCTTTGCAATCCATAGAAAAAAATATTTAAAAATAAGGATTTCTCTCAGTGTTTGACTCAAAAAAGAGACGAAGAACATTTACCATAAATCATTAAGCCCAGGCAAACCTTTTTAAGCACTGACAATCTGAAAACACAAAAATCCATTAAACTCCTTAATTTTGTTATTTAGGCTTTACAATTTTATTGTTTGGCAACTAGGAGAGGAGGAATGACCCTGCAGAGGTGAACTAGAGACATCCAGCTTCCAGTTCCAGCTCTGTGAAGCCTCTGTGACCTTGGGCAGGAAACTTCAAGTATGTAGAGGTGCATGGGTATCCAGTGAGATAAATGCATTTGCATGAACCTCCCTACATGTGGGGTTTTTCCTTCTTTCTGAGAAGGAATGGTTCAATAACCCTCTTGTCTTGGGTGCTCTGCAGTTTGTTCCCTACCTGTCTCCATCTGTGTTTGGGGAAGAAGATCCCCTCTTCCTTGTCTGTTCTGGCTGTAGGCTCTTTAGAGTGAGGATTTGTGTTCTGTGTGCAGCATCAAGCAGAGGAAGGGGTAGATTTCACCTGGAAACCCCAGGTGTCACTGCTACACAAACTGTTGGTAAGATAAAAGCATCCCTTTTTTGGGCTATTCTGCTTCTTTCTGTTTGGCTGGTTTTGGTTGATGATATTCTGACATGAGAAGAAAGAAGCCTTTAAATACTGCAAGCTGGATGTGTTTTTGTAGAAGAATGTGCTATTGTGTGTATCCAGTGAATGTGTTATGTGGCCATTACACAGGGAGACATCTCTTTTCCCTGTCATGTCCTACTTACTGGTGAAACTGTGTGATGCTGATGCACCTGAGGCATTTCTCTGACCCCATGAATTGCACAGGGTTACTTTGAAGCAAAAGTGACTAATTGTGTGTGCAACATTAAGCACATGCATAAACCTTTAGAACGTTTGGGTCTGGAGGGCTGAACACAGAGCTTAGCTCAAAGGAACATTTTATATCTCTCTCAAGGCTGTCAGTGTTTCCTTGATTAAGTCCTGCACTCCATTTTCAAGTACCATCAGTGTAGGAGAGGAGGTCAAGGCACTCCAGGAAGAATCCAAAAGAAGAATCCTAGATTTCCTGTCACCTTCCTTGAAGGAATAACCAGGACAGCTAAAGCTTATGAGATTGGGGACAGCAAGTGACCTCTCCAAATGAAAAACTTGAATTACAGACATTAGAGCATCCTCTTGGGAAATCTGGGTTTCAATTCCCTTAGGCACAAAGAGAAGTTAAATGAGGTGTCCCACATCCTGGGTGTGTGCCCCAGACCACTCAGCTACTGGACAAAGGAGGCAGAGGTTATCCTACCCATGGCTTACTGCCATGGATGTGCACCTATTCCAAGAAACACTACAAAATTATTAATACAATTATTATTACTTTTAAAGGGAGGTAATGCTCTCTAGCCTAGGACTTAAACATTCTACCCTGAGAGGAGCAACATTTCCCCATATCTTTTCCAGCTGGCCAGGCCAGCTGATAGAGCATCTTGATCAGCAAGCTGGTAGTTATTTTCCTTTCACTGTATATAAGATTTATTTGGGATGTTGTAGGAAGGCAGGAAAACTAATTCAGAATGACAGATTTCACTGCATTCCCATGATACCTTTTGATATCCCCCAACACTCTTCATTTTGGTGAGATCTGGGGCCCAGATGTTATCTGCATCTGTGGCAGGAGTGCAGCTGTGTTCTCTGTATTGAAGGCCATCTTCTTCCTCACCTCTGATATTTGTATATCCACACTCAGACATTCCTTACCCCATGGTGGGACTAGGTGACAGAAGTTTACAAGGAAACAATGTAAATGAACCACAGTCCCGTGCCTCAAATGAGGAATCTGCTACTTAAGGCATGCCTGCACTCAGCAGGAGTTAGAAAGGAGGCAAAAGCAGCACAGATCAGGGAAATCATTGTAAGGTATTATAAACCTGCACACATTTGGCAAGTCATGTTTCCTCAGTGAAGCTTATCACTGTACAGTCTGTCTTGGACTTTATATGCACAGTTATAAAACCAGGTCTCAGTGCAGAGATATCATTAGCACAGAAAAAACTGATATTAGTAACCATATATCCAGCTCAGGGAAAATCACCTCCCCTCTCTTCTGCAGTCCTCCTCCTCTTACTAGCACAGTCTCTTAGTACTATTTTTCAGTCATTAGGGCACTGCTTTGTTTCCATCTTTTTCATCATATCTCAGGCTCAGAAGGAATGACTAGCACACTGGGAATGTGTTACACTTTGTATAGTCCAAAATCTGTCACTAGGTGGAAGATTTTTGTGTGAAGATTTCAGCTTAATGAATGCCCTTCTGTGCTGGACTGCACACTGACACTGCCCAGTTTTGGCACAGTGTACAGTAGAACAGTCTCCTGCTAAACACCACATTCTTAGCAGCTCAGAAGACTGAGATTAATTGATTCCATGTTAAAGACTGAGAGTGAAGTTATATTATTTGTACTGTTTTCTTTCTAGGACGTATTGTTTTCATGTCCAGCATCATTGCCTATTTTACTTTGGGAAATGGCATTTATTCTATGACCAAGGCAGCTATTGAAAAATTTTGTGATGCTTTAAGACTGGAAATGAAGAAGTTTGGTGTCCAGGTAAGTGATGTAACAAGAACCTGGAAACCAGGTACGTGATGTAATGAGTTATGTGAAACAAAGTAACAAAGGTAAAAGATCAGAAATGCATTCATGGATGCAGCTTCCTTTTGGAAAGAGGTGGTTTCTCTGTGGCTAATCAGTCAGCTGGAAATCACTGGGAACAGCAGTCCTGGGTGATGTTTTTGGTTCTGAGAAGCTGGTGGGTAACAGGTCTGTGTGTCAGCAGTGAAACTTCCACCCTTTCTCCACATCCTCTGCAGTGAAGCTTCCTGACACAGGCTGCCTGAGCTCCCAAAAGCAGTGAGGAACCCAAATGTTCCCTGGGTGGCTGCAGAGAGCCCAGACACTGAGTGCTGTGCAGCCAGAAGGAGGCTTGTTACTTGCCTGAGGGGTTCCTTCTCTCCTCTTACAAGACTAACTCCTTGCTTTTTGTGAGAACAGCTATGCTGCAAGAGGCAGCATTGTGCAGAGTAATTATGTTTTTATTCTCTTAACCTAAGAGGCTCTAAGAGTGCTCTTAGAGCCCTAAGCAACTCTAATAGTCAAACCTGAAGCTTAGATCACTAAGTAGATTCACTGGGCTTTTTCCTTGGAGTCACTCTATTGCTGAAACATTTTTCTCAAACACTCAAAGTCTTCCCTGGCAGGTTTGCATTGGTGTATTGTGTTTATGTACTCAGATTTACAGCATTGTTCATAAGCTTTGTGTTGGAAAATATTACAGCTATGCATCTATTAGCTACCCCTGTCATATAAATATGAAGGGCTGTAAAATACAAGTGACTTTACACATCCTAATACCACACAGCACGATGAGGATTTCTGCTGATTAGCAGAGGATAATCTCAAATGCATGGAAAGGCTTAGTTTAACAGGTTAGCTACTCTGGTTGTCTTGAGATTTTTCCTGTTCCACCTCTGCAGTAGTCCCAGCCCATAACTGAGTGAGTCAGGCTGACAAACATTTTTGGAGTATCTTTGAGAGGTGTTTTTCTGTTTCTCACTGTATGCAGAATGCTGGCTGGTATTTGCCTGAGAGCCTACACTGTGGAGAGTCTACAAAATACATGGTCCTTGTTTCCAGTGCTCCCTTGCACTGTTCTGTGCTCCTCTCTGTCCTTTCAGGAAAAAGCTGCTCAGAGGTTGCAAGAAGCAGATAGAGCTATGGCTCTGTCCCACTGAACTCTGGCCAGGCAAGCTGACAGCCTACAGGAAATAAAGTGTGTGTCTTCCAGTGGAAAGGCTACAAAAAATGTGGGAAGGGCAAAAACTAAACCATCTATCCTTCTGTCCAAGCCAGCACCAAAAAAACAAAAAAAGAAGCTTTCAAAACCCCTTTGTTAACAATAAATCTGGGAAGTTTACTGGTGGCATTAGTTTGGCTGATACCAAGCACTTTTCTAAATAGTACCAGAAGGGTGGGCTCCCGAGGATGCTGTGTGACAAACCTGCTTGAGGCAGCACACGGTGTCCCAGCTGTGCACACCATCCCTCTGCTGGAGTTTATCTGCATCCCTCCCTTCTCCCTGTGCATAGGACCTGCACCCCAGTCCTCCAGAGAGCAGCAAATCCGTCACCACACAGGTCAGCAGGCAGGGACTGACACAGGTGGGAGCCTCTGCTGGGTGGGCTGGATGGCTGAGTGAAAACATCAGGGTTTTATATCATCACATACTTCCCAGAGAATGCCTGTCAGATCACCAAGTCTCTGACACAGCTCAGCATGGGTTTTCCTCACCTTGTGTTGCAGTCTTTAGAAATCAGGTCAGTTAAATGCCACGGAGCTTTTAATGTTGCATATCTACAAATAGTTTGAACAAGGCTGCTGCTAACTGAGGAACAGCATGTGTGCTGTGAGTGCTCAGCCTGCTCCAAAACTCCTTGGAATACTCAGAAGGGAGCAGAACAGCAGCAACACACAAAGAAAACATGTGGAGCAGAAAAGGACTTGTGTGCTTTTCATTTAAATCTATGCACACAGATCTACAGAAATTTGCTAGTGGCTTCAATGTGAGGCAGAGCAGGACCTGAGATCCCTCTGTTCTTTGCTGACAAGACCTGGTTTACTTTTAATTACATCTACTTGGGGAAAACAGCACTTCTTTCCCCAAGACCCGATAATTTTCTTTGATATCTCCTTTTGTCCCAAATTGGGTCAAAAAATTATCAATTGCAAGGTTCTCCACTGAGTGAAAAATCCAAAGTGTTCCACTTTGGAGACATCAAAGTCATACTGAAATGCTTTGTCTCAGTATTGTCAAAACATTTATACTGTTAAGCATTCTACAGCAATCAAAGATGCTCTATTGCATTCTGAAGGTGTGTTGAGTAGTCAAAACAAGAACATTAACATCAGAGCAAAATGAGGAAGTCAGAATAAAGCACCTCTGCAATCTTAAATATTTTACAGGAATATATTTGGTTTCAGTCAAGTTTCCAGGGTTAAAATTTCAACAAATCAGCATTTTCTGGCTGTCTGTAGAGAGCTTTTGTGTTACTGACTGTAGTATTTAATTGAATTCACGATGACTGATTGCACCTTGATAAGTTTTACATCTTCCTTTCAGGTCTGTATTATCCAGCCAGGAAACTATGCACGCTCTACAAAAATTCAGCCACCACTCAGTGCCGAAGAGATCTGGAGTGAACTCAGTGAAGAGGAAAAGGCTGTTTACAACAAGGAGTATGTTCAAGAGCGGGCAAACTTTTTCAACAGTATCCTCAGTGAGGGAAGCACTAATGGCAATGAGGTTGTGGATGCTATGGTGGATGCTCTAATATCTCCTGCACCCAAGGCACGTTACATGGTGGCAAAGCTGAAGGAGAAGGTCCTGGTGTTTGTATGTGCTTTGTTCCCAACTGCTGTGATGGATTCTGTTCTGTCTTATGCTCTGAGCAAAGTAAAACTTGCATAGCCTACAGTGGTGCTATTCACTGACTCAGGTGAGGCCATTTATACAATGTGAAAGTCAAAGCTGAATTTAATGCCCCCATGTGTCAATAAAGTGACACCAATTAACCAATAAAAACTTTGGGGCGACCCCCTAGTCAGAACTGTCACTGATTGCTAGGGAAAAACATACAGGATTTTGTGTAAAATTAAATCATTTGTTTAAGTAACTTTATCTCTCCTCTGTGGAAAAACCCCATCCACTTAAGCCGCTTTAGTTATTGCCTGGAAAATTTAATACATCTTTTCCTGAAGCAATAGCAGGTTATTGTGTTACAGACATGATGCAGACAAAATGGAGCGCATCCTAAAGGGCAGCTGTACACCTGAAGTCATTACAGCAGAGATGAAAAGCCCTTACTTGTAGAAACCTGAGTAGCCATTTATTTAGGGGAGATAGGAAGAGGTTAATGGAAAAGTCATAGAAAGGAGCATTGGACCTTGAAATACTTTGAATGGAGTTAAATGGCTGTAGCAAGTTAGGAAGTCTTGAAGCTCCGAGCAACCTGGTTTAGTGAAAGGTGTCCCTGCCCACAACAAAGGGGCTGGAAATTGATGGTCTTTAATGTCCTTTCCAGCCCAAACCATTCTGTGATTCTATGAATAATAAACTTGTAATATAAATACATTGTCTTTGCTAACTAAAGTTCAGTCCTTTTTCAGGTGCTCTGGATAAATCTGTAACAAAGCAAATATATCACAGACTTTGGAAAACAGGTTACATATCCCATTTATAAATGAGTATTTAATCCTAAATGAACTCTATTTTTTATCTAATGTCTGGACTAATCAATGTGTTGACCTGAAGTGTAGTGAGAGAGCTAAACACCAAGGAGACATATTAGTATACTTGGAGCTCAGAACATTCAGGTTTGGCTGCTATTGTAAGGAATAAGGTCTAAAGAGAAGAATACAGGAAATAACAGGAAAGGGAAACATTAGTAACATTTATCTGTGAGAGTAATTGATCATGGTAGCCCCATTAACACTCTCCTAGTTGTCATGCAAAAGATTTACACATACAATTTTAAATTTGACTTGGTTATGGTATTTGCTCTGGGGCCAAAAGATCCCAGAAGAGCTGGGATCAGCTGTGGTGGCAGGGACAGATACAGGGCAGCAGTACTGAGCATTAGTTCCCCCATGCCAGGTCTCCCATATCAAATCAAAGACTCTGCTATAAGTTGACATAGTTAACTTTTTTATCTGAAGCAAAAATTTCACTCTATACCTGGGAAGTCCTTCCTAACATAATTAACTAACTACTGAGAAAATTTATGCTCTCTCATGGTGGGTAATTTGGGCAGTGTGAGTCAGGAACATAGGTGAGATGAGCCCACAGAGTGACAATTCCAGGCTCTCTTCTGGTATACTCAGCAGTGGAACAGCCACTGCACCTGTTGGAGATTGTGGAACATGTTATTTCTCTTTCCAAATGCTGAACCCATCCCTGGAGCTGGCATTGGCAAGAGGACAAGCCTGGGCTCCCAACTGTTCCACAGACTGTCACTAGCAGGATAATCAGGTGATTATTATCCCTCTCCTCATTTAACCACAACTGAGCAAGGCCAAGCAAGGGAACAGGAATGAGGCTTATTCCAACTGAACCAATCAATTTCTTCTATAGGAATTCCCCCTGCTTGACCTCAGGGATTTCAGCAGCCCTGCATTGCTTTGGAAGCATTGCTTTCATGCTCTTAGCTGTTCTTTGTGCAGATTACCCTTCCTCACAGTAAGCAGCACAGGACTCCACAAGCAGCTTTGAAGCCCAGATGTTTCTCCATCAGGCCCATGGTATGTGTGCTGATCTCTGCCCCCAAACCAAAGTCACTTATCATTACACTGTCTCCCTTCTATTTACATTTCTAAAAGCTACTGCACTAAGTTGCTGAGAGCCAGCACCACCAGATCTGGCTCACAGACACAAACTTCCAACTGAAAATTCTTTATTTGCTGGGTATGGGGTAAAGCATGTGATCAATATTTCAATACCCTCATGTAACATAAGATGAGAAAGGCTCCAGAACATTTATTCCTTCACCTTGAAAACTGAGAACTTGCAGTGCATAGGATTTTAAACTGGATACAGTGACAGGGTGAGAACTGGTGGAACAAATAAGACAGTTTGTATTTTCATTGTCATCTAACCATTGGCATGGCAGCTAACTGAAAACCAACTACAAAATTATCATCTTTATTCCTTCCCCTCAGTTTTTTAACATTATGATCTGCAGATAAAGAACTAATGAAGAGAGTCAGAGCTTGTTATTAACAGAACATCCCACTGAAGTAATCTGGAATCCTCCCACTGAGTTCTATGTGTTCCAAGGCACAGTGTTAGACAAATAAACATGAAAATAAATAGTAGAAATAATTTCAGAATCCCTGGGCTTAGTAGAAAAGAGACCCTCAGAGGAAACAGTGATGGAAGGGGTGCAGCATTCTCTCCTCCACAAGTGCCATAGGGTACAGAAGCTGCAGGATCAGTAACAGAAGGTTTTAGTGAACAAACCTTGCTAATCAAGTCAGTGATGAACTCTGAGGACTCCCAGAGCTGTCCGCTCTTCAGTGAACTCCTGCCCTGCTCTGTGGCCCTGGAAAGCTCCCCTGACTCTAGGGATCCTAGCCTTCATCCTGGCCATGTGGTACCTGGGAAGCACATGCTGGGAGTGCACAGTTGCTGGACTGCCCCACCATCCCTTTTTACTTTGCCACATCCCTGGCTGAGGAATGCCTCCCTCTTCCTCAGTAACTCTGAAATCACCTTTACCTCAAGTCAAGTTGAAGTGCAGGGGCATACAAGTCTATATTTACAACATCCAAAAAATAAACCGTTTTAGGAAAAATTCAGGTGATAAAGATAAAAAAACCAAACAACCCTCCCCCCCAAAAAGCCCACAACCAAACCTCTGATGACATTTCTCTTACACCTGAAATACCCCTCTCCCAAAACCCAGCTAAGCTGCTGCAGACCCTTTCCTGAGACTGTTTTTCTATGTAGCATTCATCTCAGCTGCATTCAACATAGAACTTCTTGGAAAAACGCTTCAGCTTTTATCACTATTTGTTTATAAGCCTTGCTGACAATTTGAGAACTTTTTTTTCCCTTTGAAAACAGCCACGCCAAAAGAGACTCAGCTTTCTTCCCAAGTCTCTTCTCCAAGGACACAGTATCAGGTACTTAACAGTTATTTCACGGATTTTCTCCTTGATGAAAAGGGCTATTCCTAAGAGTGCATATTAACTGGTAGAAAGAATCAGTGTTGGTTTTGACATTAAGCAGTAACAGAAAGAGTATAAAGTAGCATAAAAAAAGCTACACCAGTTTAGTAAGTTGTACATTGAACTGAGTGATACCAACAGCTCTGTACAGTGGCATCAGAAACAGAGCAGATCCCAGGAAATATAGGAGGAGGAGCTGGGTGGTACCTGCCAGCACAGTTCTCAGGAGGCTGTGCTGCTGCATGAAACAAAGATTGTCTCAAGGAGACGATTTCCCTCCCTTGAGAGGGCACAGTTGGAGCAATGCCCCCACAGCAGCTCCCAAGACGACCTTCAGAATTAGCCAATGTGTAAATTTATGTCATTCTCCCAAGCTGGCAGGTCTGAATAGGGAGATTTTGGGTGGAATACACCACACAGCAGATTTTTCTTGCAGTAGCATCAGAATCCAGAGAGATGAATAGCAGTGATAATTACTTCCACGGTAGAAAGGCATAAATGAAAACCAGACAATCCTCAAGCACACCTTGCAGCAGAAGTCAGGCTGCCACCAGCCCAGCTCCCTGTGATGTCAGCAGGACTCCAGTGCCATCCAGCCTGAGTCCTTGTGGTGCACGGCCTCCCTCCAGAGGTCAGCTGTGGGACAGCTGCAGCATCCTTGTGCTTTGACATCCACAGAGAAAACCCAGCACAGTCCAGAGACAGCAAGTGGAACAGAGGATGGCAGCTGCATTGTTCCACATGTTCCAGGAGGAACTGTGTAGTGCGGTCAGCCTGGCACCTTCTGCTAGCACCAAACCAAACTTCACAGCCTTTGTGTTTTGAATATTTGGAAGCACCTGTTCAGCACTGAAACGTTTTCATGTGTCATTTGATTATTTTGGAGCTGCAAAGTGAGCATGTCAGTCATGGGGGCTTTATCTATCATAGGGAAGAATGTATGTTGCAGGAACAATTGAGGTTAATGTTTAAGAATATATAAAACAAAGGGGAAACATATGCTCCTCAGTAATTAATGCTTTTTGAATAATCTTGATTTGGAAATGATTTAGTAGTGATCTCGTTATTAGACACAGTAGGTAAACCTATCTACTGTGGGTTCCACAGGTTGCATTCATCCAGGGAACCACAAAGCCAGTGAAGCGCTTCTTGGATTGTCCCAGAAGCTCCTTCCTGGCTGTGAGAGATGTCCCACGTGGAAAGGGAGGGGAGCTGCTTGCAGCACCCAGGAGAAAGCAGCCTCAAGGCTGTCCTAACTCACAGCACATCGGAGCTGTGGGCAGCACTGCCCTCAGGTGAGGACTCTTGCAGTGACTCCTGGGGCCATACCAGAGCACATGCACACTGTGCCCACATCTGTGCTGCGCTGTGTCTCCCAGGTTTGGCTCTGGGAGCTCCAGGGTATGTTCAAAGCTCAAAGCTCCGGACAGTTTACACCTTTCCTTCCTTAGTGCAGTCAGTTACATTTTTACCAGCACCATCCCACTTGCATTCCTGCAGTAGCCTGGCACTCCTCCAAAACTGAGCTGTCAGCCAAAAAGAGCCCAGCAGCTTGAGGCTTCAGACCTTGGAATAATTTTCTCTGGTGTGCTTTATTTATCTCTACAGGCAGGGAATACTCTGAATTTCTCTAAGAGGATTTTAATCCTATTTATTTTGGAGATGTTGCAGTACCCTAATACCAGAGCAGCACCTCTGCTCTTGAAGCCACATTGCTTTGAACCATCCAATATGATGCTGAGC